CGCAGAACAGAACCCTCCGAGGCGTCAGTCAGGTCAATTCCTACAAAGCCTCGGCCCTGCCGAGAATTGCCAGATGTGCTAGCATACCTCTCATCTAACGACACTTTCTCTGGCCTTGGAGAGAGAGAGACAGTATGTGGAAAGGCTCGGTAGGGCAATAAACAAAGCCTTGTCTAGGAAACAATGCGCCTGGGCCGGCTCCAAAAAGTCGCCTACCAATTCTAAAGGCGACGTAGATGCACGTAGAGAACAGACACTCAGGCAGTCACCAGTAGACCACTCAAGGAGTCCGTCAGAGGACTGACTCCGCGTCAGTTATTTATATATTCATTTACACTAGTAATCAGTTCAAATACCGTCTTGTCCGCGTCAATCACAAGGAGAGCTAGCGTGCCCTCTCCTGACACATCACACATACACAGTTTATAATCAATATTTGTATTACTCGTGAAATATAAGTATTTATTCTACATCACATCTCATTCATTCCATAAAACATCTCTCCGGAGGCTGTAAAAGGCACGACGAGAGAGCGACGAGCGAAGCGGGCAGCAACCAACGTTCGAGCTTGCCGTAACAAACGCGTATCGTAACGCCCTTTACGCGACAAAAAGGAACTAGCCAGGAAGCGAAATCGGCATTAATTTCCAATCGTCATTTTTAAAGACAGCGAACTCGTAATTACGAAAGTTTGCCGGCTCGGAAACCACGAAACCATGGCGAACATCCGAGGGGAACGAAACTGAGGGGCGAAGAAGAATCGCGGGCGGAGCAACACGAAACGCACACTCGTTACATAATAAAAGCGTCGAAATCTCGACGCGAGCCTAAGATCTCACGGCTCAGAAGCGTTATATGAAGTCCCTTAAGCCTCGCTGCCCGATCGAAAAGTATTTCTCATTTGGTCTTTGAGGCTGCTCTTCGGATTACCCCCCCTGCCCCTCCCGATCACCACCGGTCCCGGCACACATCCACCGAAGACATCAATAACGCCAACTCGAAACTTTCGCTTTGCCTCGAAGTGTTTCTCCTGCCCGCACGCCGCCCAGCCGCTCTGCTGCTTTTCCTTCCTCCTCTTTCCTTTCCTTCACCGCCCTCTTTTTCTTTTTTACATTTTCTTATATGGCGCACGTCAAATTGCCCGAAAAGCAATGAACTTTACTCGAGAGGTGACAAATGACCATCGCGAAGCAAGCCAAAAAATATGAAGGGATCCGGGGTGAAGTCGGAAATTTCGAGGGAGAAGTAAGTAGATCCCGGTGGACAGTCGGTTGAATTTTAATGGTGCGTGGATGTTTCGTCCGTGTTTCGAGTTATTCTCGAAACTGAGATGAAAATGACAATCCGACGATCTTTTTACGTGGTTTCTCGTTTCTTTTTCGACACTTTTGCTGCTATTGTCTCTTAGTCTGATTACAATTGATTTTTTAATCAAAGACATCATTTTAAAAATGTCAATAACGTTGAAAATTCTTTCTAACGTTGAGAATTCAAGGTTCCGCAAAAGAGTACAATTTCTCACAATACCAGGAACATCGTCTTTTTAACTTACACACTCGTCTGCGTCGCTTTGCTTTGAATGGTATCTCATTTATTTCGATTGTGCTTGCGATAACTTAATGGCGTGAGAACGCTTTGTTATTATTAAGATGACACAGCGAAGATCGAATAAATTTTTTTCGTATTAAATTACGTTCTCTATATTTCCACTCCTCAGAAGAATCTCTTACGAGACGAATTTGAAAAGAGAAACATCAATGTACAAGTATCCTATATTTTAGAAAAACGAAAGCAGAATCGCTCGAGCTATCTGAGCTCGTGAATCGAACTTTCGTCTCGAGTTAATTGTTACTGTTTCGAACACCGTTATCTTACCCTCTCCGCAGAATGATCGCGTTAAAAGGATCCACGCAATCTTGCTCAAGAAAGAGTAAAAATCCACGCGTTTCAGTCACCTAGCGGAGGGAGAAAGAAAGAAAGGAAGAAGGGAAGGCACAAAAGGACACGAGATTTCAAGCTGATGCAGGCAGCGGTAGATGAAGAAGTATTCGAAACCGCAGGAACGATGAGAAGCGAACGGTTTAAAGACGTCTGGTGCATCAAATAGATCAAACATTTGTGTTGGTTGCCAGCAAAAGTAAGAGTATGCGTGGAGGGGATGAAGAAGAGAAACTCTTTTAACCAAATGACGTGAAGGAAGGGAAGAAAGGGGAAGAAAAAGGACAAAGAGCAGATAGAGAGGGGATAGAGCAAAAAAAAATAAAGGAACGAGAGGAGAGGAAACGACTGCGATTTTAAACCCTTTCGAAGACGGAGAACTGAGAGATAGCAGTCGGCAAGAAGGTTCGAGAGGCGGATGGAAATAAAAAGTTCTGCAAATTTGAGTGGTGGTTTTAACGGTGGTCTACGAACTAGCCTTGGCTGACCGTCTATAAAACCACCGTCTCGCCTACGTCAATGCCACTGAAGGTGATTCGCCGACTTCGATCGATTGTAATTAAATGGAAACGCTTTCACCCTCCTCGCCTGGTATCTTCGCCGCCCCACCCCATCATCTTTTTATCACGCCGCAGAATAATACTTTGGTTGGGGATGAAGAGGATGAAGAAACGTCGTGTCGCACAAAGTCCGTCAAAATAGCCCAAGAACATGATCGTTAATAAAGTGTACTCCAGTTTAATTTTTTATTCTTTGAAACTGTTTTTGAAATAGAAACTGGAAGAAGCTGTACCAAATTAAGTTAAGACCAGCAACGTTACGATAATTCTCGCAATTTATGCAATTATTCGTTAAGGAAAATGCTCGAAACTAGATAAAATTGGAAGAAAAAAGAAAAAGGAACGAAACTTGCAATGAAAATCTAAAAATTACTGAATTAACGATTGTTATAGTGGATATTATAGATTGTTATAGATATTATAGATTGTTATAAAAGTCCGAAATATTAATAAATACTGATAATTTTATGTAAATGTTTTTCCGCACTACTTACGCTACCAAAAGGACAAGTTGACTTTGAATGATATCGAGGCAAGAGTTTATACTATCAATTGAACATTCGTCGGGTACGTATCGACTAAATTTTCGTAAGAACTTTATTTGTAACAAATGTTCGAAACTTTTTTTCAATACAGATGAAAGAGAAGAAATCAGAGAAAAGAAATTCAATAAGTGAACGTTAGACATATCAAATGAAGAAGAAAGTCTGTCTAAAAGATTGAAGTTGAAATTACAGATCAAAATAAATTGTCTGTTAATTTACTCTACCCTAATCGAAACACAAATGCGATACTATAAAGCAAAGGGTCAACCAAACTGAAGATTAACATTTTACTAAAGACAAAATAATACTAGACGCATTTTTAAATTGAAGTCGTTTAATTAAACGTCGATGGTTTCGTTTTACGAAACAAATTGAATATGATATCAGAAACATTTCTATATGAACGAAGGAAAAAAAAACGAAACAGACCTTTTCAAACAGACCGAACCGAGGATCCTTTCACTTTGTGTCGTTCTCGTAAGAGTATTACAACCAGTTCTCTGGCTGTCGGATCGGCAATGATTTCCAAATGGCATTCACGGTTCTCCGTTTGCAGTAAGCCGTAATACCGTAAATGTGGTCGATTGTAAGTGCAGATTTCCAGACGGACCGACCTCGAGCAGAAAGCTCCACGCGAAATTGCAGCTTACATCTACACATCCTTCACCCCCCATCAAATTAAAAGCGATATTCTGTTAAATCGCGTTCCATAACCTTCATGTACACACGAGACAACCATCCTTCAACGACAGACTTCCATCAGTTTTTCTCGATCGATTTTATAATTATCATCACGTCCCTTGCGCAATATGAAAGTCTCTATCGTTTAATTCTACATTCTTGTTCTTTTATCTGTTAAAATTCTCTTTGATGTGAAATACAGAGAATTGTTCGACAAAAAATGGCAAATTTCAAGAAAACTTACACAATCCCTTTGATGGCCATAAACAAAATATTAATTTACAAAGCAGAAGATCAAAGAATCTCGAATTAACTAATCCTATTCGTTAATTTGAAAATTTATTCGTGTAGAATTAGACAAGCTATTGAACGTAATTGACAAATTCTTTCTGGACAAATAAGATACTAACATAAGAAGATAACGATATAAAAATTAAATTACAAAAAAAATAAAATATAGATTATTGATTCTGTATAGAAATATATAAATAAAGTGAAGAAAAAGAAGTGAATGAAAATAAAGAAAGTATTCGAACGTGGGTGAATACTGACACCTCAAAATCGATGCGTTTACGGTATAGAAATAGACCGGAAATACCGTGTCCCGGAGGATTCCCGCAAACGGGATGGGGGATGCGATCGTGGCGTCGCCGTATTAGAATTTAAAAGCATCTCGTTGACGTGACTCCTACCCTTCTGGCTTTCAACGTCACCGATAACGATCAACATTAATTAAAGTAATCGTCTTAGCGATGGGAGCGCACAGGTTTCGCCGAGAATAAATAATTTATGAGATCTGGGGTGAAGTGTGATGAGCGAAGGGTGTACAGCGAAGGACAAAGGGGTGGCCGTTACGAAATATACATACTTATTCATCTAACAGGCGTACATTTTTTTACATAATGTCTACCAACTACAACTTGAAGAGATACAGCTACATATATGTATTGTAGACAATTTCACGACGAGAGAATATCGAGATGTAGTGTAATAAAAAACGATATAATGATCATGTATTAATAAATTATGGAACATTATATACGTGATCGTGATAAAAAAAAACATGGTTTTGAGTTAATCTCTAATAATTTTCATAAGTTCAATAAGTTTAGCTAGTTCCACGTTTACTAAGTTTCGACTTGTCATTTATCAATTCTTAAAATAAATTAAATTAAATAATATTCTTAAAATAAATTGTACTTACTCACTGAAGACACGATCGGTACTCGAAATCTTGCTCTGTTTTTGAATTCAATCACAGTGTTGCATTCAATAAGATCAATAATTTATCTGGAAAATGATATGCAAAGTATTTGTTAATTATTTCGTTGAAAGAATGTTGATTACAAGTTTTATATATATATATATATATATATATATATATATATATATATATTTAATCGAGAATACGCACGCTACTTTTCTTAAGATATCTTAAATCTATCGTTAAATGTAAGAATGATTAAAGGTTAAGTTAAAAACCTAAAAAAACATTGTTGCGCCATCTAAAGGGAAACTTTATTATCTCATTGAAAGCAATCGATTGCACCACAAACGGGGTATATGAATAGACATAGAATAGACCAAGTATCTTATGGGAAGCTCTGAAATACCGAGCGATAGTAAAAACTCACTGGTTTTTTAGCGCACTCTACGTTTAAACAACGTTTAAAATGATCGAAGTTGATCAAATATGATTTTTGAAATTCATTACAGCATTTTCAGTACCGAAATGTGAAACCAGTAACTAACCGAAATTATTCTATTATACATATATCACAGCGCTCTATCCATATTTTACGGTATTATGATGGTTTTTTTCATACAATACATTAAAATTTTAAAGTTATTAATAAAATATTAAAGAACTTCAACTCAAATAAATTTTACCAAAAGCTCAATATAATACGAGAGAAATTAAAGACAATATAATCATTATAGAAGAAATAATTAATCCTAGCCTTTCTAAAATATTCTTGTATGAAAAATGTACAAATTCGGATGAAATATTTTTCATACATATTAATTAGTTCACCATTATAAATTAATTATCTCTATGTCAAAACTACATATTATTTGTTTTTCATTGATTTAATGGATATATATATCTACACAAACACCTGATATCGCAGTCAATTAGCTCGTACTTATCATGTAATTAATAATTGTATCAGTTATATAATTAATTGTTTAACTATATAATATGCTAAATATGCCAAAGAACTTACATTCTTAGTATAAGATTCTTAGAGGATAAGGGGAACTGAAGACTGTAAAGGATCTGTAACAAAACATAAAACATTAGAATTTATATTTAAAAGTAAGTTTTGGAAATAATGAAAGATTCTTACATTCTTGGCTTTGGTACCACCCCAAATATTGCCATTCATTGGATTTTCCCCAAAATATTGATGCTGTGAAGTATTTACAACAAAACGTCAACTATCATATATCGTTTTTAAATTTAAAAAATTAAATAAATTAAAGTACAATACTACTTACGATCTTGATCTCCTGAAAAGGTCTTATCCTCTTGAGCACTGGCTCTAATACCGAAAACGAACGTTGAACAAGAAAAAAATAGAAAAAAAATGAAAATAAAAGACTATCCACGCGCATGTTTAAGTAACAATCTCGGTAACTCACTGACTCTAACTTCGCGAATTCTGATTTAACTTGAATTAATAATTTAATTTAATGAGAGCCAATTTTGCTCAGAAAAATATTAAAATACATATTGCGCAACAAACACTGACTCTACCGACCGCATTGCGCGCGGTCACAAAAATTTTCTGAAAATAAAGCTGATTACTAGGAGAAGGGCAAAAAATACGTTCATTTAGAAAATACTGCTATTTTTTTAAAAAATGATTATAAACTTGAATATGCATTAAAGATATTAGTTGGAAATTATAAAGTATTTTTCAATATTTGCAGAAATATTTGTAGAAATTGTATTCTGAATGTTCGTTATTAAAGTGAAGTATACACATTAGTAATATCCTGTCATGTATTATAAATATTCGAAAATGCTTGCACAAATCAAAATTTCACAACTAAACGTATATAAAAAATGATATACTTGTGAAATCTTCCTCTGAATCGTTCAATTGCTTGCTATTGTAGAACTTTCTTCTTTACAAATGAGGCGTCCTCCCTTCCGCCATGTTTCCCGTTTAAAAATCGATCGTGAGAAATATCGATCATGATTCAAGACTCGTAGGAAATATATTCCATATTTCACCGTTGTGGCGCTGTAATCGTGCATTTCACATGATAACTTGGAATAAAAAATAAAAAACTCTGGTTTAAATCAAATACATAAAATTCATGAGATATTCTTAAAAAAGAACGAAAAAATTCATACACTTGATGAAAAATTGTCAACACATAAGAAATTTTGTTATATTACATAGTAGAATTATTATTTTAATCATTAAATACGTACATCCTCAATAAATTATTGTTGGATTTAGTATTGGAATTGTTAAGAATTACGCAGTATGAAGTTAAGGAATCAACAAATAAGTAGAAAATATTATAATAGAAGTGTGTGTGTAAAAGAATATTATAAAATACATATATATATATACATATAAAACAATGAGTTAGTCAGTTACAAGGTTACAATATTTGTATTGGTTACAATTGAAATTAAATTTTAGTATAAAATTATAAATAATTTTTAGTATAGTATGTTTTGTTTAAATGTTTATATGTTATTATTTCTTTAATTGTTGAAAATTATATGTAATAATTATCTAATTAAACCTTACCTTGAGTTGAAACCAAAAATACACATTTTATCTTAAAAATTCACAATACAAACACAAATCCAAAAATTATTGATTTATATTTTACATAAGAACTTTTGATACTTCTTTCTGGATAATTCTTCTGGATAAAACTTTCTTCTTTACAGATGAGGCGTCCCATCCTCCCTTCCGCCATGATTCCCGTTTAAAAATCGATCGTGAGAAATATCGATCATGATTCGGGAATTGTAGAAAGTATTTCCATATTTCACCGCTGTGGCGCTGTAATCGCGTGTTTCTCATGATAACTTGGAATAAAAAATAAAGAACTAGTCTAATCAAATAAATAAAATTCATGAGACATTCTTAAAAAAGAACGAAAATATTCACTAAAAATTGTCAATACTTTAAACTGTTATAATTTCTGAAAAAAAATTGTAGTACAATTAACTTGATTTTATTTTAAAGCGCAAAATTTCTACTTTAATAATCCTTTATTTCTTTCAAAGATATTTATTTTTACATCATGGAGCAAATGTAAAAGTGAATAATTTTCAAATATTGTAAAAATTCAAACGTCTCGCTAAAGAGAAGTTTTTCCATCATCGAACAATTTTTTTTCATAATCAGATCAATCATGATCTTGGAAATTAAAATCTTCCTTTAAACTTTAAACTTTTAATTCATTAATTTTCAACGAGTTATAACAACAAATGACCTCGTATGCAAGTCACTGAATCGAAAATGAATTTGACTTCGAAATTTCGAAAATGGACGATCTATAAAAAATAATTAACTTAACATGGCAGTAAAACTATTAGATTTATTTTTACTCTTATTCGCGATAATTTAAATAATCATAATAATCAAATGATCAGGAAGACAAAAATACATGCGACTTACATTTAGATGCAAGGAGTGACATATGTAATCTTAGCCTACAGGAAATCATTGCAAATATCGTTAAATAGGAATCATTAAATCCAGTGGGAAATATCTAGAACAAATTATAATCATGATTAAATACATATACATAATAACTTTTTTAAATAATGTTCATTGTTTTAAACTTAAGATTCGATAATTCAAAAACAAATCTTACCGCTAGTCTACTTGACAATTTCTGGATAAAGTTTCTTGTTACATTTCTCGTCAGAATCATGCCTAAGACTAACGGTTTTACATCTCAATATCAGGTCGATTACAAAGACTCTCGAATTGTGTTCGAGAATCGCAATATGTAATTGCGAAATTTCACCGCTTTATTGGCGCTGTAGTCTTTATTGAAGTTAGAATTACTGCGCGCGCATTTACAAAATACGTTTCATAAATTGGAAGAAAAAAATAAAAATTTCCTTCTTCTAATTCTTTTCTTTCATTAAATAATATTTTTACAAAAATGTCACAACTGTAGAATATAAAAAATTACGTCTATATTCGAATAATCTGTATTCTTGAATTCAAATTGCAAGAGATAAGAAGTAAAAACTAATTTACTAAATATACCATATTCACCTTTCTAAAAGAGATTCTGAGTGTTTTTCTGCGATCTTTCCTGTATCCAAACGACATTAAAAAATATTATATGTCTTTCTTCTATCCACGTGCTCTATTCGTATTTTGGCGGGAAATGCACTTTAACGTGGAAAGAAATACATAGGTGTTATTTAACCTGTTAGGTGTTACATGGCGAAGTATAGACAAAATATATTCCAATTTACAAATCAAATAAAAATTTAAATAACATCACTATTGCTATATATGTATCGCTTTATCTAAGGAAAAATAGTACAATTTGTGTAGAATATTTTTATATCTTGTTTGTAATATTATATTATCACTTTTTTAAATAATACATATGAAATTACAATACTACTTTTTCTAAATGAATATTTAAAATATTCTTTGTACAAATAATACATATGAAACTACAATGCTACTTTTTCTAAATGAATATTTAAAATATTCTTTGTACAAATAAAACAGCACCTGTAAAACTAGTTTAAAAAGTAAAAGTCAACATTCCCTTTCACTACAATATTTTACAAGATTTTCATCGCTACGAATTATTCAGTGTACTTTCACCAACAGCAGTTGTATTCACCACATTGTTTATATTTATGATATCAAAATTTTAAATTATAATTACAAGAACAAATTTGAAAATAAACCGTAAGATTTTATAGCCGACATTATATAATAATAATAATTTATTTATATTTAATTATTTACATTTAAATATTATATTTAAATAATACAATATACGGATAATAATTTATATATTATTACATATATAAATAATCAAATATAGTCTACTATGACATAATCAAATGCATAAACTATTTTACACATAAAATATGTTTCACTGCAAAAAAATTTTGCCACTCACTTTACATGGATCTTTAAGACAATTATATACTTCAAGTCTTTTGTAAGTAAAATATATTTAATTAAAGAGATTAAAATTTTTAAAAAAGTATCAGAAATTGCTATTTTTTTAATCTTTTTTAATATAACTTTTAGTTGGTTCACTATCAAATACAACATATATTCTTTTCAGACAAAAAGCTGTTATAATAAACGGTAAAGAAATAGCTAATGAAATTCAAAATGAATTAAAAGCAACTGTTCAGAGTTGGATAAATGATAAAAAGAAGCCTAAATTAGTAGCCATAAAAGTTGGTAATGATCCAGCTAGTAAAGTATATGTTGAAAGAAAAATGAAAGCTGCAAATTTCATTGGTAAAAGAATGCTGGTGTATAAACTGGCTTAATAAAAATAATTTATATATTCAATATACATATATCTAACTATAAATTTATTTTATTGATAACTCAGGAATTGAAAGTTATACTATCCACTTGGAGGAAAATAGTTCGCAGCAAGATCTTCTTAAAGAAATTGATTATTTAAATAAAGATAAAAATGTAAATGGGATTCTTGTGCAGTTGCCATTACCAAAACACATGAATGAACACGAAGTATGTCAAGCAATTGTACCAAATAAAGATGTTGATGGTTTCCATTTACAAAACCTGGGTAGTTTAGCATCAAATAGAGATGGGATTATTCCTGCAACTGCTTTGGCTGTGAAAGAATTGATAATTAGAAGCAATATCGAAACTTTTGGGAAAAATGCAGTGGTAGTGGGAAGATCTAAACATGTTGGGTTACCAATTGCATTACTTTTACATGCTGATAGCAGAGGTATAATATAATGTAGAATGTAAAAATAAAATATAAGATTCCCAAAAATCTTAACGTCAAACTAATTCACAGATAAAACAGGTGCGTTAGACATGACTACAACAATATGTCATCGCCATACTCCTCACACTGAACTAGAAAAACTTACAAAATTGGCAGATTTAATAGTAGTTGCAGCTGGTATTCCTGGTTTGATCACTAAGGAAATGGTAAAACCAGGAGCATGTGTAATTGATGTAGGGATTACAAGAATAAAAATGGATAATAAATACAAATTAATAGGGGATGTAGACTTTGAAAGTGTACAAGCAGTTGCTGGACACATAACTCCTGTACCAGGAGGTGTAGGTCCCATGACTGTAGCAATGTTGATGAAAAATACTATTTTAGCAGCTAAAAAAAATTATGACAATTTAAAATCTCAATAATTTTCAGCACAGTATTGATAATTATGCAATGTATTATGTTTTCCTGTGGATATTGAGTGAAAATAATAAGACTTTTTATTTTTTATTATATTTATTCATTATATTGGGAAATATCATTTATTATAAATTACTAATACAATATATAAAACATCTATAAAACAATAGAAATATTACATCTACTTTAAAAAAAAAAACAATTTTATTCAAATCAATAAAAAATATTAGAATTATAATTATCTATATATACGGATTCTACTTGAACTTTAAAAATATCAAAAAAAAAATTAATATATTTAAACGACAATAAGTGAGGTTATATCTTTCTCTATTTCATAGTCAAAATTGAACAGAAATAAGAATTAAATTTTTGTCATTGTAGTAATAAAAAATGCTGTTATCTAACCTCACTTTTTATACAAAATCAAGTCAAAGGTTATTGCTTGTAATCGCTCTTAAACTTTTAAGACACAACGATCAGAAACTTTTTACATCTAATTCAATCAAAATGAACCGACCAAAAGTTTTGATCACTCGTCCAGACATTCCTGCTGGCGGATTAAATTTATTAAAAGAACAGTGAGTATATTCTTAAATATTTAAATACACTTGAAATATATTTTATTTTAAATCATGTAAAACAGTGAAGTTGTATTTATGTAAACATATTGTTTTACATGCTTTAATATCTTTCTTAAATATTATATATTTAATCTGTACATAGTACAATTTTATTAATTTTTTTTTTTTTATATTTTAGATGTGATGTTATTTTATGGGAAAAACCTGAGCCAATTCCTAGATTTGCATTATTATCAAAAATACAAAATGTGGATGGAGTTTATTGTTTATTAACAGACAAAATAGATGAAGAAGTTTTAAATGCAGCAGGATCACAATTAAAAGTTGTGGCTTCTATGTCAGTTGGTGTTGATCACTTAGATTTACAAGCTTTAAAAAAGAGAAATATTAAAGTTGGCTATACTCCTGGTATTTTAACAGATGCCACAGCAGAATTGGCTGTAGCATTATTGTTGTCTACATCTAGAAGACTGATAGAAGCAAACAGAGCCATTTATAAGTATGAAACAGAATATATTCTTATCAGATGTTAAGTCATATAATGAATATTTTATTTAAAACATAATTCATATAGGGGTGAATGGAAAGCATGGTCACCGACATGGATGTGTGGACCTGGATTATCTGGATCAACAGTTGGAATAGTAGGATTAGGTCGTATTGGTACTCAAGTAGCAAAATGTCTTAAAGGATTTAACACTGCTAAAATATTATATACAAGTAGAAGTATTAAGCACGCAGCAATTCAATTTGGAGGAGAAAAAGTAGAACTTGATACATTGTTGGAAAGAAGTGATTTTATAATTGTAACAACAGCTTTAACTCCAGATACAAGACAAATGTTTAACAAAAATACATTTCAAAAAATGAAAAAATCTGCTATATTTATAAATGTTAGTAGGGGAGATGTTGTTGATCAACCTGCTCTGATAGAAGCTTTAAAAAATGGAATAATCAGAGCTGCTGGTTTAGATGTTATGACTCCTGAACCTATTCCATTGGATAATGAGCTACTGAAGTTAGATAATTGCGGTATGTCTACTAAAATCTATCTATAAGTTTCTAATAAAAATAACAATTTATTTATGTTTCAGTTATTCTACCTCATATTGGTAGTGCTGCTATAGAAACGCGAGAAGAAATGTCAATAATTACTGCTAAAAATATTATGGCAGTCTTGAAAGGAGTCCCTGCTGAAATGCCTAGTCCACTTCAATTATAAATATTACTTATAATATCACAAATAAATATATAAGAAACTAAACCAGCTTTAAACTTAATTCTGTATATGTCTCTATAAATGTTTTTGTACATATACAGTAAAAAGAGAATATATTGTACTCTTTTAATATTAAAACTAACATTTCAATAACTTTACTATTCTGAAATATATAATCTCAATACTTTTAACGCTATTAAGCTTTGCTCATATATTGTAAAATGTAATGCTGTTGTCATACTAGCTTTCAACTGACTCGGTATTAAACCTTTAAATAACCCTTTTACTCCTTCTTTTTTAATAGTTAATTTTAAGCAATCTATAAGTCCATTACACTCAAAAAAATTACCAAAACCTTTTCTACCGTTTTGAAAGCCTTGTATTTGTAATCTTTTTCTACTAAGATCAAAGGGATATATTATAGTTTTAGCTAATAAGCCAGCTGCGCTACCAGAAATCATAGAATTGGAAAACTTAATATCAGCTTCATCATAACATTTCTTATACATATCAGTGAAAAATGCATAAAATGCAAATTGCAAACCTGTATGTGGCACAATTTGCAGTAAAGTTGGTAATAATCCATAAAAAAAGGCCTTCGGAGATTCATGTCGTATTATACAACTGAAAATATATTTCGTCAAACAATATTTGATTTAACGGCAGATGTATTTATGACATTTAACTTGCCTGCAAGAATGGCAAATTCCTTTATATACTATATGATTATTCGATTGTGCTACTAATCTGGTTCTTATAGTATCAAAAGGAAATGATATTGTTGTAGCTATAAAACCAGCACCTGCACCAGCTACAAACTTTGTTGAATATTTCCATTTGTTTAATAATGGGTAATTATGAAACTCATGTATCAGCACATTATATGAATAGAACTGTAACATTTTCATATTTACCTATATATTTTGATGTATACATATTTTAAAATGTTTACATATTTGGATAAAAAAATTTAAATTAACTAATATTACAAGTGATACTGTTTAAAATTTGGAGATTTTGACTCTTTTAAATTCTCACATTTCGTAACTTTTGCTATAATTTTTAATTAAAACTACTGATATTAGTATATAAATAAATTTTAATATATAAATTACAAACCTCAAACAAACATGATATACAGTATCAGGTGTAAAACTGAACCAGTGATTCAAATACAAGTTAAGATTTTTATAATTATTTCATGTAATATTTATATCAATTAAGTATTATATAACAGAAATAAAAAGCTATGATGGTTCTATAAAATATATATTCACCTGACTCATCCCATATATAACTGACAATAATTGGGCAGACACATGTCCTTTCCAAAAAGCTGAAATACCTTCTTCTTTAAATATTAAGTAAAATGCTTGCAGTAAAGAATGATATTTACTAACATGATAGTTAGTAATAGGTTCGACTTGTAACTATAGTAATAAAGATTTGTTTTTAATTAACATTATAAATATTGTCATTGTATTACTTGTAACATATATCTTTTTACCTGAAATCTAATTTTTACAACATCTAATGGTTGACAAGCAAATCGCGTTACAAAGCCACTAATAGCTCCTGCTACAGCATATTCTGAATCTAAATTGTCACTATTGCTCTTTGATGAAGTGCCCATTGTTATTTATTCTAAAATTTTGGTAATTACTGTAAAATCTTCGTATTACACTGTGATGGATAGCAGAATTAATTAAAAAATCAAAAATAGGATTTTATATAAATAATAAAATATTCATATAAGGAATAAATTAGTAATTAAAAAATACATCTATTTAGGCAAAGTTTATTTAAAAAGATAAATTTTTCTTATCATGTATAACCTAACTTAATAATCATTAAAAGGCAGAATCAATACTTGCTTGTAATAATCATTATATAATGGCGTAATGATAATATTAGTTTTAATAGTGTGAATATAATTATATATGAATATATTTAATTAATAATTTTATAAAAATATGCATAGTTCACAATTTTATTTTGTAATATTTTGTTATACAGGGTGTAATATAACTGTCGTTACGATTTCTTGTGGACTTCTGATAATCTAAAAAAAATATGTCAAACAAAAATTAATCTGTTTCTAATTGGCTTATTAAATTGCACTGCACAATTATTCGTTATACTTATGTTTAATTTCCTGTATCATTTCAGAAACTGAAGAATAATTGTCAAAATTAGAGACATAATTTAAATTATAATAATTTTCTATTAATGTTGTTAAGTTATATCCCCACACACTTTGAAGTATAAATTTTATATTTCTTCTAGATGGAATGTTCGGATAACCATTTACAGTTATTATATCTAAATATTCATTAAAATTTTCCTGTAGAAGATATTTACTTAGTAATAATTTCAACATAACCCTACTAATATATACATATTAAAGGTTAATTCAATAATCTATACTCACGTAATTCCTTAATTGCAACTTGTGCCATAGTTCAATGTACAATTTAAACAAATCTACAACTACTGCTTTATATGTTGAGGAAACATTTTCAAAATTATCTTCAAGTTCTTTTAATTTATCATCCTTTAAAGTATTATCCTTCATTTTCTTAAAGTACCATTCTTTAAAAAATCTTTTCTTTGCATTATTTTGCATGTACAAACATTTAACATTCGTTATTATGCTTGAATTATTGGTAAATACTTCATGACACAATTGAAATACATCGTCCTCTGAAGCTTCAATTAAATGAATCATAAAATCAGAATAAACTAAAAGTAATCCTGTAATATGTTGTGTAATATTTTTTTTTATTAAATTATCAAACAGTTGTATTATACTCTCACAATCTACAATTTTTGCACAAAAAATAAGTTTACACACAAATGTATTCATTTCTGAAATTAATAAAATATACATTTTGGACAAATTGTTTGATCAATAAATAACATGTATCACTCTGAAATAAATTTTTGAAATCTTATAAAATCAAATATACACAATAAACAATACCACATCATATAAATCTTACAAAATTACTTTCTATTATTATAGAAAAAAAAAATTCATTAATTATAAACCAGAAGAAACTACAATTAATAACACGTGATAAATTTTATAGATACACAATCGCAAATATTTTTATTTGAACCTTTTATTTGAAATTTGAAATATTTATCTTTCTCTAAGAGAAGAAAATATACGTACAATATTACAAATATTTTATCGTCTTCACAATAAATTTATTCTTACAATTACAAATGATACATTAATGTGAGACATATTTTTGAACAATTTAAATATACAAAGTAAGAATTGCCGAAATGGCTATTAAAGTATTACAATATTTTTAAATGAGTTTTTTATCAATGGAAAATTTTACATTTCTTACTTAAGATACATAATTTTACTACAAACTCGATCCAGGTAAGATTTTAATGTATTGAAACTACAATAGTGACACAGAGTATAAGATATGCAAGTAAATAGAGTGTAGTTTTACAGTTAATATTTAGTAGCTTCTCCCATATAAGTTTACAGACATTAACAAATAAACGGACTATATGACCAAATATAAAATTGGCCACATTGAAGTGGAATGAATACTGATTACATCTATTATGATACTTATATCTTACTGAGCTCCAGCTTTTAAATTCCCTAAAGAATTATAAATTAAGTTTCCTGCACTAAAAAAATTGAATAAAAACTATTTCTTTCAAATCATTTTTCAATAAAATGAAAAACTTTTTAGATCAAATTTAATTTTCTAGAAGATTGTCAATCATTCCATATTAAGTATGCTCTTATACTTAATTATTTTATGCGTGTTCGACTGAATGGAAAAATAAAAAGGTAGTGCAAAATATTACTATTATAATGTAAATATAACAAAGATACTTATTGTATCTTCTGTTTGAATTTGATACTACTGAATTTTATACTATTGTTGTTAACTACAATAGTAGGATTATAAATAAAAATTTTTAAAAAACTGAGCACGGATTTAATATAAAGCAATAAAGCACTGACAAAGAACTTTTTCTAATCACAAAGAAACAAGTTTCAGATCTTCAAAAAGTGACTTATTCAGAAAGTTTTTAATCGAAAGTTGAATTAAACTGACTATGAGGCGTAACTTAAATTTTCGAATCGTGTATGTGTTTTAGGAAAAATTGTTTCTCTTCTGCGGTAATTTCCATTGCCCCAACGATCTAAAAAATTATATATATATAATAATTTAAAAACTTCATCACATAATACCGATTGAGTTTCATAACTTTCATAAATACTTACTTCGCATAGAATCATTATCATTTTTGTCTGCAAGTTCCAAAAGTTTTGGATTGATAACTTGTTTCGCTTCTCTAAGTACATTAATTAAACCTTTAACTTGTCGGCCATTTTGTGGTGTAAAGAATGCATAACTCGTTCCTGCATTATTTGAACGGCCTGTCCTGCCAATTCTATGAATGTAGTCTTCAGATGAAGTCGGATAATCGAAGTTGATCACGTACTTTACATCGTTGACATCTAAAGAAATGATTTTATTAAATTATGTACTAGCATAAAACTATTAAGTGTATTGCAGTATAAAATATGTTATGTTTAATAAAAATATTAATTTTGTGACAGTATGTAATTCGATTTATCAAATAAAAAATGAAATCCATACAAGTTATAATATGATTTCTTAATAAAATTTTATTTATCTATTTATTAAAATAGAAGTTAAATACTACAACCGAAATTAATGCGGAAAATTGATTACTTTTATCTTCGTATCTTTCTATAAGAATATACAGCTAAGCCTACACCACATTACATATGAAATTCACACATTTTATTAACAAATGTTGAATTTTATAACAATTAATAACTTCTAAAATCTCAATTACATAAACAAAAGAATATTTATATTACCTTCTTTTGTGCATATGTATTATAAGTGTAGATACTTATAAAATAAAATAAAAAGTGAACTTATAATACAAAATCAGAACCTATGACATAGAATCAAAATTTTTATAAAATCGTTACAGCGGAACGCATATATATCCCCGAGAAGTCCTTTCTATTAACAAATACAATAACAATAATTATTTAAGATAAAAATTATTTTTAAACATTATTGAAGATTTTGTTATTTAATATTTCACAAGTTTTTCATTTCTAATTATTGAAATATTGAAGATATATTAAAAATTGTATCAATTTTACATTTAAATGTATATGAATGTAAGTTAGCTGTATAGTAATTAAATACAAACCCTGTTATCGTTGAACATTGCGTTCCGTATGACTGCATATAGAGCCCCATGTGTGCTATTGTTAAATGCAACTTCACATCGCAACGTTGTGGCCTAAGCATCACCACCGAGTAGCGATAGTAGCAAAATCAATAGATTGTTGTCTCTGATACGGGCTGAGCATTGGCTATGAAGTATGATGGTTGTATCAAAATGTAAACAACGGTCTTATCTCACAACCAACCAGCGCCGATAGCGGTACCACCCGCGCACCACTCTACTATTGCGTGGTACACAGGCTGAACACAGAGGCACATTAAGTACAATATTATGTGCAAAACAGAATTGCGTATGTACAATGAGTGAGCCATGTTTTCTTTATTCGTTTTTCATCGCACACTCAATACAATTTGTGCACCATGTGCCTCTGAAACAAAGGACAACCAGACTGATTAACATAAATTACAGGATGCCCACATATATTACTGAAGTATTCCAATTTTTATACTCTCAATTCTTTAACACAAGCAAATAATATGCTCCTTTCTTTTCTTTCCTTTTTAACAAAATAGATAGCATTACACGTTAATAAAGCTAACAGAAAAATCAAAATAAACAAAACTGTGTGTACTAGCCCTGTATTTAATATAATTATATGATATAACAAATTTTCCTAAATAAATAGTAAAAATAAAAACGTAAAATCTATTATACAAATTTAACGTTTTTCATATTGATATAGAAATAACATATGTATATAGGAATGTAAAAGAAATAAGTAATAAAAGTCGAAGATACCTAATGCCATCTATTCATAGTATACTGAGCTTATGTAAAAGTTTGAGATACTAAATGCATTAACACATATTAATTTTAATAATTAATTATAAAACTCTGCAAAATATACCACTGTTCAGGAAACTCCTTATTTATCAATTTTTTGTACTTTTTAATTAACATAATGAATTAATTAATATTAGCTATTAGCTTTTATTTTAAAAATAGTGAGGCATCACCTTCATATAACCAGTCTGTGCTACATCGCCACTTTACCTATCCTACCCCTTTTTAATTAAATATAAATTTCCTCAACTTCATCTAAATTTCAACACTTTATTTAAAGCTTGATAAATTCTTAAAAGTGTTTCAAAAAAAAAAAGAAAACAAAAAATATTGAACAATAATTTTATTACTTACCCAATCCACGAGCAGCAACATCTGTTGCTACAAGAATTGAATCCTTATTCCTTCTAAATTCTAAAATTTAATATAATACGATGTATTAATATATGAAAAATATAATGAAAATATTATTAACAAATATATATTAACAAACCTGTAAGAACAAAATCTCTTTCTGTTTGTGATTTGTCACCGTGTATACATACAGCCGGCCAACCATATCGACGAATAGTTCTAGTGATAACCTCCACTTTTTTCTTTGTCTCTACAAAAATTATTGTTTTTCCATCATCTGGATTGATACTACTGATCTCCTGAAGAAGATTTTGCAATCTAAAATAAAGAAATAGAGCATTGGTAAGCAAATGGTAAGCAATATTTAAAAATTACAATATTGATATATTGAATAAAATCAGTTCTTCTTAGAGGTAAACTAGAAGAAATCACATACTATCATAATGTTATTTACATCATAAATAATAAAAAAATTTTTCATTATAACTCATAGTATTAAAATCAAAATATTTCAAATACATACTTTGTTTGTTTTTCATGTTCTTCGCAAACATCAACAATTTGAAGAATATTATGATTAGCTGCCAATGTTAATGATCCAATGTTCAATTGTGTATAGTCTACAAGATATTCTTCTGCAAGATTTCGAACTTCTTTTGGCCAAGTTGCAGACCACATCAGCACTTGTCTGTCTGGTCTGATTTGTTCAATAATTTTACGGATCTGTGGTTCAAAACCCATATCCAACATTCTATCTGCTTCATCTAACACCAAATATGTGCATCTACGTAAATTAGTTACACCACGTTCCAAAAAGTCAATTAATCGTCCAGGTGTAGCAATGCAAATCTCAACTCCTTGTTCTAAATCACGAGCTTGACTTCCTTTTGGTGCTCCACCAAAAATACAAGTGCTTTTTACGTAACTAAAAGTTTGCGTAACTTTCTGAATTTGCTGTGCCAATTCTCTTGTTGGTGCTAGAATTAGAGCAATTGGTCCGTCACCATGACTTAAAGCTTGTTGACTGCTAATATGTACTATCGCAGGAAGGATATATCCTAAAGTCTTTCCAGATCCAGTTTGCGCTATTCCAACCATATTCTGTCCAGACATAGCAATTGGCCAACCTTGAGCCTGAATAGCAGTTGGTTCATTGAACCCATGTTTTCTGATACATTGCATTACATGATCAGGGAAATTTCCTTCTTCAAAATGTTGTATAGGATTAGGAATTTTTTCTCCCTTAAGAGTAATTTGATTTTCTTGTCTAAATATATCTACTTCTTGTGGGTGCCGTGATTGAACATTAGGATGTGGTATATAAAAATCTTTTTTAAAAGGCTCTAAATTTACAAAGTTCCAATTTGGCTTTTTCAAGGGCCCGATATTACCATGCATATTATTTTTATTGCGATTCTCAAATCGTCCATTTCTATTATTAGCATTATTTTTATATACAGATCCTCTTTCTTTTGTTCTATAGTTCCCACTATGGTAACTAGCTCCGTACGTCCTATAAAAAAAATTGAGATATATTAAAAATTATATTTATTTGATATAAATGTAGAGAACAGAGAGAATCAGCTCCAGATAAAACACATGTGGATTCCGAAGGCAAGTTCTCAAATTGCTGTTCCTCCCACAAGCATTCATGCTCCATTCATGTACATAAAATGGAGGCATGCCAAAATAGGAGGTATTTAATAAAATACACATATTATATACAAACCTAATTCTGAGAGATCCAAGGCCTCCCATTATATGTCGTAACCTTTAATAAATAATAATTTCTATACGTATACTTTAAATTTGTATTTTTTATGTGTACTTTTTTTTTAACGGAAAAGGAAATACAAATAAATATTTCGATAGAAACATAGACACTTATCGAAATCATTAAACAGTTATGTAACATTATGTCGATAAATATCCACGAAGGCGAAATTAAACGACGCATTGCGGATATCATGTAACGGTCAATCGTGAACAGATTTGAAGAAAGAGAGATCGAACATTAAAATATAAATACGTTATACAATTTAACTTTAAAATTATAGTTAAAAATAATATTATTACTCACATATTTGATACAACAGAGAAAACTTTCAATTCCTAATTAAATTACGATCAAAGATGATGACTTGATTCAATCGATCGAACAAGATAACGATTCCTAAAACAATTAAATTTTATTATTCTCTTTTTTTTACTGTATAAAATATATCCAAATATTTTGAGAAAAAATGAAGTATTAACTATAATATATTTAATAACAATTTACAAAAAAAAAGTAAATTACGAACACCGAGCAAGCGATCCTACTTACACCACATCCACGAACAGAAAGAACGATTTAGCACGTATCCGGAAATGACATACATGGGGGACAAATGTATTCAAAAGTGGGGATGCGCAGCAGCGATTTAAATATCTCTTTTGGTCTTCTGCGCATATAATATGGAGTCGATTTTGACAACGTTATTCAACATATATATATTATTTGCTCTATTTATATAATTTTCTATTTATAATTGCATATATATGTTTTTAATATTAATGTATTTAATATACATTAATACATTAGCAAAAAGTATACTTTCACAATTATATAATATCACGTAATAATTGTCATGGAATAAATCCTTTATAAGATCGTGTATCACTTCCAATAAATCAGAGAAGGTAAACCTACAGTTATTGGTTAATAATTGTTGGTGAATTATAAAGTAAATTTTTAGGAATAATGTATTTTATATTTGAACTATGTTGCTAACTTATTTGATTAAGTGACAATGGATATATTTACTCAATACAGCTAAAATATTCAGAATAATAAATTTAACTCTGATTTTATCTAGATTTTACTCGCATGGTTTTACTTAGCTTTTATTTAGCTTTTTGTTTGGTCATATTTTTCAACATTGTTAATTTTTTTAATGATATTACGGAAATAAATTGTTTATTTTAGTACAATAATTTTAATACAAAACATTAGAATTAATATTCATACATGTACATCTAAATAAAATTCAAAATCTCCCGCTTTTTTCATACTATCAAAAAAAAAAGAAAAAGAAAATAATTCAAAGATTTGACGTCTATAACGCTAATGTTATATTTGTTCACATTCGTTTTAACTAGATGTGTATCTAGGTATCATTAAATACTTTATGCTGTAAGTACAGTCAGAATAATCAGAATCAGCGAGAGAACGTGTGAGTCTATCACGGTCTGGTATAGGTAGTTGGTTGTGGAGTGCGTTTGATGGGTTACCTTTTATGGCGATTCAAGTAACAAGAAAACATTAGTGAAACTTGTGATGTTTTAATAATAAATTGAAAGGAAAACTTCTAACGGAAAAGTAAGTCTCTAGACTTCTTATTCAGTTTTTCTAATATTTATGATTTCGTTCACGAAGAGATATCATTTTGTAAATATAAAGATGACGGCATCGTTGTGAATGAATAAGCCGTTTGTTTTAAGCCGTGAATAATTTTATTTTAGAAATATCGAATAATACTGTTAAAATATAAATTCAGAAAATTCTTTAAAATTTTCCAAATAAACATGTTTCCAATTCATATTATGTACAAAATGTCACTTAAATTAAGAACAACAATATAGAAAAATTTGTACACTTAAATCTTTAATTGCATTTTCTATTAAATAAATAATTGTTTTGTAAACGTTCTATTTTTTTTTTTAAATTTATTTTCTTACAAATGTATGTGTATGTATTTAATATATATATAAAGAAACATTTGTAAATAAATTTTTTAATGTACTGATGTTGAAATTAATTATATTAATTATTATTTTCTTCAGATTCATAACCATAACTTTAAGATAAAATGATAAGACAACTTAAATTATTTATAGACAACTTGTCAAATAAATTTTCTGTTGTATTTGTAAATGAAGTATTACAAGTTTGTTCCACTTTTGGATAAATAATTAACATCATTGAAAGATTTTTATATATTTTCACCCATATAAAATGAATATATTTCAGGCTTATTTCCAGACAATAAAAAATAGTAACTAAGAACATGTATTTTAAGAATATGATGAATCAACAATTGCAAGAATATTACCTCATATCTCCTTCATTTTTTAAAAATAACTGTATGAAGTTATAATTTAATACAAGAGTTGTAAAATCGTTATATTATTTTAAAACCATAATTTAATGTATACTCTAACTAAACTATATTAAAAAAATTTATATTACTAATGGTTTTCAGAAACATTTTCAAAATGTTTGGCAGCTTGAAATGGATTATAGCAGTAACAATTACTACATCTCTAGTAAAGGCAAATTATTCGCCTCCAGAGAGATTGACTGGAATGAATCCTTGTATTAGCAAACAAACATGTCATGAATGCATACAAACACCACATTGTGCCTGGTGTGCTGCACCAGTGAGTTTTTATGTCGAAATATTCCTATATTAATAATATATATATATATATATATATATATAATGTTCATAATGTATCTTAAGCGAATAATTAAAATTTATTTTCTAGAAATTTTCTGAGAAACGTTGTTTTTTACCAAACATTAATACTAAAATATTTGCAACATGTCCTGCCGAATATACATGGAATCCAGATAATGTTTTTAGTATGATAAGACATAGAAATTTAACAAAAGGTGGATATGCATATGGTGGTGCTAATAGTTATGAGTATTCTAGCACATATGGCTCTAGTTCGCAGTCCAGTAGTAGTAGTAGTAGTAGTAGCAGCAGCAGCAGTAACAGTAGTGGCAGAAGACAAGAAGCTGTACAAATTTGGCCACAAGAAGTTAATCTAAAACTTCGAATAAGTAAGTTTATATATAAGCAATTTTAATATGAAACAATATTTACAATATTAAATGATATAAAACAATTTTTTAGATGAAGCACACAGAATGACTTTTGCCTATTCACAAGCTGAAGATTATCCTGTTGATTTGTATTATCTTATGGACTTGAGTAAATCAATGGAAGATGACAAAAAAAAATTATCAGATTTAGGTCAACTCTTAGTAGAAAGTATGAGTAAAATTACTAGTAATTTTCGATTAGGTTTTGGCAGTTTTGTTGATAAAGTTGTAATGCCTTACGTTAGTACTATGCCTAAATCGTAAGTTCCTCATAAAAAATTACAATCTATGTGTATGTATAAGTTGAAATTACAATTTTATGCTTCATTTAACGATAAATTTATAGTCAGTTTTATATTTCAGATTAATAGAACCATGTGATGGGTGTGCAGCACCATATGGTTATAAAAATATTATGACATTGTCTCAAGATACTAGTCATTTTGCAGTAAGTAATAATTTAATTTTTCAATTAATCTATAAAAATTGTTATTAATTTTTCTTATTTATTTAGAGTTTAGTGCGAAATGCTTCAGTATCTGGAAACTTAGATGCGCCAGAAGGAGGATTTGATGCAATAATGCAAGCTATAGTTTGTAGGCGACAGATTGGCTGGCGTGAAAAGGCTCGTAGACTTTTAGTATTTTCTACAGATGCCGGTTTTCATTATGCAGGTGATGGTAAATTAGGTGGAATTGTCAAACCAAATGATGGTGAATGTCATTTAGATGGTACTGGACTTTACACGCATTCATCTTTGCAAGATTATCCAAGCATTTCTCAGATTAATTTGAAAGTCAAACAAAATGCTATTAATATTATATGGGCTGTTACGGAAGAGCAAATAAATGTATATAAAAGACTGACTAAACACGTAGAAGGATCTTTTGCTGGTAAATTGTCTGATGACTCGAGTAACGTTGTAGAATTAATTCGTGAACAATATGATGCAATTTCAAGCTCGGTCGAAATGAAAGATACAGCTAGCAGCGCTGTTAAGGTAAAATATTTTTCGAAGTGTTTGGGTACGGGACCACTTATTGAAACTTCAAAATGTGACGGATTAAAGGTTGGAACAAAAGTAGAATTTACTGCAGAAATTGAAGTCACAAGTTGTCCAGAAAATAGGTCTGAATGGAAACAAAAATTCGATATTTATCCAGTAAGAATAAAAGTATTCAAATCTATTTGCTTAATTCAATATAGGTAAATTTAATAAAGAATTGAATTTACTTTCTTTCAGGTTGGGATTAATGAAACACTTACTGTAAATTTAGAAATGTTATGTGACTGTGAATGTGAACGCGAAGGTGCTATGTATGAACCAAAATCTCCAGAATGTAATGGTGTAGGAACTTTAAAATGTGGTATTTGTGAATGTTATGACGGATATTTTGGAAAACGTTGCGAATGTAGTCCTCATCAAGAAATGACAGGACTAGATAAACATTTCCAATCTTGTAGACCAGATAACACTTCTCTGGTAGATTGTTCAGGAAGAGGAACTTGTGCTTGTGGTCAATGCGAGTGTGAAGAAAGAGAAAATCCTGAAGAAGTATATAATTTTAATATAAAGATTTATATTTGTTTAATTATGTTGATTTTGTTTATTTCAGATAATATCAGGTCATTTTTGCGAATGTGACAATTTCTCATGTGATCGAGATCAAGGTTCTTTGTGCTCGAATCATGGAACGTGCGAGTGTGGACAATGTGTCTGTAATGCAGGTTGGACTGGTCCATCTTGCAATTGTAGATCTTCAAATGAAACTTGTATTGCGCCAGGAACTACTAATGGAGTGTTATGTTCAGGACATGTAAGTTTTTGATTACTTTGAACAAAAACTTTTACATTTAATTTTTTATGTTTTACGTTTACGTTTACGTGTTACGTTTTTTACATTTAATTTTTACGTTTAATTTTAATTAATCTTTTATCACTTAGGGAGATTGTGTTTGTGGTGAATGCATCTGCCATGAAGAAGGAAATACTAGATATTCTGGTAAACATTGTAATAAATGTCCAACTTGTCCAAGCCGGTGTGAAGAATTAAAAAACTGTGTATTATGTCAAATGTACGGTACTGGTAATTTCACTGACAAAGAAGAATGTGCAAAAAATTGCAAAACATTCGTTCCCGAACCAGTTGATACAGTAATACCAGATGTGGACAAGGATGAAGTTCCATGTTTTGGTATAGATGAAGATGACTGCAAGTATAACTTTGTTTATTATTACAATGAAACGAATTGCCTAAATGTCCGAGCTCAAAAAGAAAGGGAATGTCCACCGCAAGTTTATATGCTCGGTATAGTATTGGGTGTAATTGCAGCTATTGTTTTAATCGGTCTTGCATTGTTACTTTTATGGAAATTATTAACAACTATACATGATAGAAGAGAGTTTGCAAGATTTGAAAAGGAAAGAATGATGGCTAAATGGGACACGGTAAAAATATCAATTTATTTTTGATTTTATATATTTTTTCTTCTTTTTTTTTTTGTATAAAATATTTCATTTTTATTATTTTTTAATAGGGTGAAAATCCAATTTATAAACAAGCAACATCAACGTTTAAAAATCCAACATATGCTGGGAAGTGAAAAATCATTAAAATAATCCTTATTTAATGGAGAAGATTATTTACAATAACACATGTTTTTATATATAAATATAAATTTTTAATTGATTAATATTTAAACGACAAACAAATTTTATTATGCAGCAAATGAAGCTTTAGCACTAATTAGAATAGTCGTTAACATTATAACTGATAAGTATTTAATGGAATCTAATGTAATATGAAATTATCAAATTATTCAAGTATGATATTATAATACTGCCATATAACTTAGACTGCTATGTATGAATGTGCGTATGTGTGTAAGTGTAAATTATGTACACAATGTATACAATGAAAAATTATAACATAGGAATGAATATCTGCATGAAAATATGAAACGGTTTGAAGATTCAAAATGTCTTACCGTAACACTTATATAGAAGTGCCTTTTTGTCTTTTATGACAGAAATATATTTATATAATTTTTAATTTATAAAATTTATGAGATGTATTATTCTTTTAAAAGATTTCATTCACTCTTAGAATAGAGTGTAATGAATTTTTCTTTTAAATATATTTATTAACATTTTTCATATATACGCGACATTAATACATTTCAAACAAAAAATATGAAGGCACATTTTAATATGTGATATTATAAGATCTAATGTTTTACACAAACACGTATTGACAAACGATGTTCAGTTGTTTTCTAAGTCTTCCTGATTCTTATGTCTGTTTTAACTTTTATAAAAAAAAAAAAATGATTTAAAAATATATAAAAAGAAGTGTATAAATGTAAAAAAGTAGCAAAATGCATATAAATCATTTTACAATTTATAAGAAGTGCAAGTCTCAAGATTTTTTTTACAGCTATTTATAAATTTTTAGATAAATAATATAAAATTTTAGATAAAAAATATAAAATTTGATTGTCTTTGATCTTTTATATCTACAAATAGAAATGCAGTTAACGAAAACAAAACAAAACAAGTTGACATTTTAAATGTAGCAGATTAATCTTTTGGAATACATTATATCAATTTTATTATAGGATATAATTTATAACTTTTATACTAGTTTATTGTTATTTACATGTTCACATTCAAAACGAAAGAATAGATTTAATATAATAGTAACTCAAAGAATAAATATTTTAAATGTAAACAAATACTATTATTAATATTATTATTATAAAATAATTGTATTTGTATAAAAATCATTCAATTGATCAATCATTTATCAATTAATTAATCATGCATTTGAAATGTTTTAAATGTTTTATTGACATTGATAATGACAAAAATATCAGTTTATCTTACGATTTCTTACAATTACGTTGTAAAATAAAATAAATAATTACGATATTGTTTCTTCATCTGTTAACAATGTATTTTCGTACACTCATTTATATTTCTAAAGTTTTGTTTTCACAAATAAACGATTTATATATGAGTTAATTCTAAATTAGCATAATGTATTTTTCCTAACAGGAAATTGAATTTAATTAATATAATAATAATACTAATATGATTTTATTTATAAATAATTGCATATATGCAATATATAAATTTTTTATATTTTTTTCTATTCTTTTTAATCTTTCCAAGTTGAATCCGTAAATGTTAAAAACTAGTTATATTTTTAATTGTGAAACGTAATACTCGTACACAATATTTTATTAGAAACTTGCAACCAGCAATGCACAAACAGCAATTTATGCGTAAAATTGGCGTTGTGACAAAAACTTAACGCAATAATATACTGTAGTTACATCTTTATGATAAACAACGTGATTTTGTAGGATCGTATTTTAACAGAAATAAAATTACAAATTTTAACAGAAATTACAAATATAAACTTATCTGTGCTAATACATGTGTGACATAGTAATCAAATTATCTTGCAACTATGTAAATAGAGAAAAATAATACAAAGCATATGGATATATATATATATGTGTATATGTGTGTGTGTACTATATTGTATAGAGGTCACACAGAAATAAAATCTTTAATTACATAAACTATAATTATTATTTACTATAAATTATAATTCAAGATTCGGTACAGATTTAGTACAAGAAAATTATACTTTGTACTATACTTCTTTTTGTTAAATGACATTATACTGTTTTTATATAATTAACATTCTGTATTGAAGTAATTATACTTACGATGATTATATGTATTACGATACTTATGCAACACGTCAGTTCAATTCATCATGTACTACATATATATAAGTTAAGATATAAGTAATAATAATAAAGATATAAGTTATTTATGGATTTTCATTAATTTTTCATTATTGGTAGTATCATACAGATTTTTTAACACCAATAAAATAAAAATTATCCACGATTTTGAACAAAAAAAAATTTGCAATCCTTAACCTTAATTTATTAGCATTGAAATTTTAAACATTATCCAACTGTGATAACAAAACATTTTACTGTTAACGATGTTTTCGTTATAATTTATTTTAAAGAAGTTTATTAAAATCTAATACTATTTCAAATCACTTGTTCATTATTATAAACAAATCATACGTATAGACAATTATCTACATATATATTTTTATTTACCTTTTAACATCTTTAATAAAGCTTTACTTATGCATGATAATGAAATTAAAGAGTTGTTTAACAAAATTTAATTTATATATTATAGAATTTCAAACTACGGGGGTACTAGATTATTTATTACATTACTGATACGGTAAAAGTGAAAACATGAAAGAGCTTGACCTCGCATAATTTAAAGTAGAATAAAATTATTAGAAAATGTCAGTCTGAGAGCAAAGATCTTATTAACCAGACAGAATTCAAATACAGCGATTCTCTTTGATCAATAGAGAAAAACATTTTTATATGATTAATTAATCTAATTAAATTATCTTTTTATTTATGGATTTATTAAGTAATTTCATAAGAAAAATCAATATATACACAATTATATATGTATCTCGTTTAAATGTTAAAAGTTTTTTTTTATTATAAATGCATTGTGTTCAAATTAACGCACAATTACAGCGGGAATATTTAAATTGATTTATTTACAAAAAATTTTGTTCAATATCGTCGGATGAATGATATTTTTTAAATAAGATAGAGGTGCTAAAGGTATCAATAAAATATGTATTGTATATAACTTTACAATTTAAAGCCACAATGAAATTAAGTTTATATAAAGACACGTTAGTTTATGAAAATTTCTCGTAATTTCGAGTAACAAAATAAAAACTCTAAATTAGTCTGATTTATTTGAACACTTGAATGAGTTTTTTTAATATAAATCCTACAAAGTGAATGATTGAATGATTTTTTTAAGCTCTTCGTGTAATTATTGAACTCATCATTTCTAATTCGTCAAATTAAATATTAGTTCTGCCATAATTTAGGAATCAAGTTATTAATATTACATGAAATACATTATCAACCATATCGAGTACCAGTGGAATGACTAAAATTTGTCAATTTACGCAGTTTCATCGTACGTTGCTTGCTGTTTATTATGCGATGCAACCGCGTCTCGTGTCTCAAGCGTCACGTGTTTGCAATAGGTGAAGGTAGAGTATGATGTGGAATAATGCTTGAGCGCGTATGTACGTCGTCTCAGTAGCACGATAACAGATACGATAACTAGTCACGAACTAGCGCTTCTAGAAAAACATAAAAAAAAAAGACAAAATTGTGCGCAATTTAGAAAAAGGCACTCGTAAAATTGACAAGAACAAATGTAAAGTATTGCGAAGGTATACACTCGATCCTTATATTTTCGTTTTTTTCTCATTTATGTTTCTTTCTCTTGCTCTATTCTCTCTCTCTCTCTCTCTCACCCACTCTCCTCCCTCCTCTTTTCCTCAGTGGCTGTCTCTTTCTGTCGCTCATCCACGTTGCACTCATTCGTACTCTGTCGACCGTGGTCGTAGTCTTAATCCATCCTTTCGTTTATATTCGTTTCTATCTTTCTCGCTTTCTATTCTTTCTTCTCTGTCCGGTCAGCTTGCCTCCTTCTTTCTCATTGTCAGTTTCTCGTTTTCTTTCTCGCTCTGTTCTTCGATGCAAAGCAGAAGAAACCCCCGCGGTTGTTCGTTCGTTCTCAAAAGTCTTACTCTCGTTGTCACACGCTAAAAATACTCCCGCACAGTCTTCCGAGGGTGTACCATGCCAAAGGAATACGGGAATTAGGACGACAAAAGCAGTCAACGTCGACCTGGAACTGTCATGGAACGACTTTCGAGAGTGGCATGTTATTTTCGATGGATGAGGAACACGCTACCTCATGATGCAAGTAAAGCAGAGGACGAGCGCAAAACTGTCGAGAATGAACGGCATCGGAATGTCGGGTGCAGTTTCGAAGCCTCAAGGCGACTTTGTGGCATTCTGGAGAGTATCCTTCTTTGGGAGAATTCTGTGAACAGTATCTCCGTCGTCATTGTATTCAATATATTGTTCTGGTGAGTCCGCGTAGTGTTATAGTTGTCGTGTGCGTCATTTCTAAGCTACACTATTATATGCATGATTTCGTGAAATTTGATTATCGACACGTTTTTCCATTGTAGAGATACCCGTTTGAGTTTCAACATTGGTCAGATTACAAAATAAAGCATCTTCGTGACATTCAGCACGATGCTGAATAATAAATATAATTGTATTTTTTCTTTTTTCTCTCGATGCTCTTTCGTGTTTCTGTTTTTTCGATTAACAAGCTTACTTACTACTACGACATTTTATAAAAAATTTATGCACATTAATAGTAGTCGTCGTGAAACATTCGGCATATTTCTAAATGCTTTCGAAGTGATTTATCTTTTAGGTCAAGGTTTGCAAAGGCGTGCGTCTTTTGGCGTTTCATTTGTCATTTGTAAATAATAATATCAATACTCGAGCATTCTGATGCTTTGTATCATTTTTGTGTATGTTCCTTGTGCGATAAGCGTAAGAACAACGTCACATGACGTTATTTACGTATATTACGAAAACAAGTTAATATAAGTCATTAATGGGTTTCCGAAGTTCCGTATAGTAGAAATATCGTAAAATCTTTCTCCGTCTCTTTCTCTACGATTATACATCCCCGTGACATTCATATTTGCTTTGTCGAATGAATTGCATGTTCTCTGCGTATTTTCCCACCGGGTCTACAGCACTATTCTAGATGGCAGTATGTGTTGACAATTAAAAAACTATTGTATAATTGCAAATCGTTCGATCTATATTACCCGTAAATTATAATATTTACTTTGTCATTGTTGTAATTTATTATATACTCAGATATTCATACATTTTGTAATGAAATTGCGAATAGAAGAGATTAGATGCTTATTTATATAGTTGTACTCATTTGTAAATTAAAAGAAAGTCAATCTTATGCGTTAAAATATATTATTTAATTTTATGAATATTAATTTTATGTATATTTTTTAGGGGTATTGTTATACTAGAGATTCGAGGCTTTGCTGCAGCCAGCAGTGCTGCACTAGTCATTGTACTCTGCTATAATACCTTGGAAGCTCAAGTTCACAATGAAAATAAAGCATTGGACACAGCTGCGTATGTATTAAGAGTTTCCAAAAATTTTGTGCTTACATGCTTATAACTATTTTATACAAGCATTTTATGTAATTCATTCCAAATGTATAACTTATTTATAGTTCCTACGCAAAAGCAGAACAGATTGAAAAAATAGGGAAAAGAATAAAATCTGTAATTCATAGCTTGAAGCAGTTAAGGAAAGAACAACCAGGAGTGGTAATGTTTTATCAATTAATATATACATTGTAATATAGAAGTAGAAAAATATAGTTAATCAATGCATATCTCATTTTACTATGCTACTTGCGTGTGTAAATATTAAAAATCATTTCAGTTTTGTACTGCAGTATGTTCTCTTTCTTTGGGTCTATGGATTATTGGCCGTACTATAAATGGTATACTTCTTATATATACGATATGCATGAGCATTTTACTTGGACCTGCATTGTTGTTGAAGTTACCTAGCAAAATGGTAGTACATAAAGGTAATTAATATATTGACAAATATAAAAAATATTATTTTTACTAACAACAATAAGAATAATAATTTTATTAAAGTTAAAGAAAAAAAACTAATATGATTAGAAAATGTTAATTTTCACTCTATTTCAGAATGGGATAGTGAAATTGAAGAATTTTTACCAGCAGTAACTGAAGATAATCTTCAAGTTCTTACAAGAGCTGGAGAATCAGGGGATCAATCCCCAACACCGACAAGCGTATTATCTGATGCTCAAAATGGTATAATTAGTTATTCAATATTAATAATCGTAATTAAATATTATATAATATTAATCATAATTAAATATTAAATATTATTTATTTAAGAACTTATTTAATACTTATTTAATAAAATTGTTCGGTAAAATTATGTTGAATTTTTTGTTTAATTACAGAGTTTCTTATTGATGAAGATCTTTTGGGTCTTAAAATGCCGTCACACGAAGATGGAAGTACTGATGGTGTGGAAGTTTCTGAATTAGAGCTTAGTGCTGAAGAAACTGATGTGGATGGTATTAAATTTCAAAGTGGCCATTTTGAGAAAGGATCATCTTCTGAGGAAGAAGCAGAACTTGAACCTCTATCAAGTAAACTAGTTAGTCATAGTGATGAAAGTGGTAGCGAATTTGAAATAATTGATGGTCAAGAAATTGATAATTTAGACATTGCATGAAAATAACTGATGTGTAAACTGTGAAGTTATTATTATGCAGAATAGAATTGAAGTAAAGAGTTGATTTCAAAAAAACATTTTGATTGGGTAATTAAGTAATTATTTTATGACAATTTTAGATATTTGCTTATTAACGAATTTTTACGCAAAATTGACATAACATTAATTTGAATAAAATGAATAAAAATCATGTATTACTAAAAAAATAATATAAATTATATTTCTCTAAATTTATATAGTTGAAGATATTTCGAGATATTTCAAGAAATTTAAAATTTAGATATTTGTTTTATGTCGTGCAAATGATAGCTTCTCAGTAGTTACATATACTTATATTAAAGTATATTCATAAAATTGTACATATTATGTGCAACAAAGAGAATTATCTCACTTACAAACGATTCTTGATGTATATAAGAGATATCAATTATCAAAAAACTTAGAGGGAAAAAGATAAAATTGAACAAATAACGATTGTCAATTTAAATGTCGCTTTGACCTTCATGGCCAAAAATGATTTTGTATATATGTATCACACACAGAAAATAATTACCTGCGAATTATAATTAAGAAATTAGAAACTACAATGTCCATTATGCAGCAGGTAGAAGATAGATAAATATTATCATAGTAAATATGTACTCTGTTTTTGATATTACCGAAATTACATGTAAAAATAATTATACTTATCAAGAATCAATTTTTAATATTGCATAAATATTGTTTTGTGTCATAAATAAATTATGTAGTTTAATTTTTACAACTCAATTTTAAGTATTAAATAGAGTGTAACATATATGCACGAATAATATATTTTATTGATTACAAAAATTTTTTTTATTAATTACAAAACGTTAGAACTCTATTTAAAACTTAAACTAAAAGAATTGGTCACATAACATGTATTATAAATATTTTTTATTAATTACAAAACGTTAGAACTCTATTTAAAACTTAAACTAAAAGAATTGGTCACATAACATGTATTATAAATATTTTTTATTAATTACAAAACGTTAGAACTCTATTTAAAACTTAAACTAAAAGAATTGGTCACATAACATGTATTATAAATATTTTTTATTAATTACAAAACGTTAGAACTCTATTTAAAACTTAAACTAAAAGAATTGGTCACATAACATGTATGAAAAAGTCTTCAAAATAGTTTTTTATCGAATAAAGAAAATTTTTGTGTAATAAATTTTAAATTAAATTACAAAACAATATATCTCTATCTTCAAATTAATTACACATGTTTTGCTATTAAGATTTCTATTAAAAATGATACCACTTATGTAAGCAATTTTATTAGTAGTGTATACATACAAAAGTTAATATTAAATTTTTAAATGTATTATTAATTTTACCCAAATTTTGCAGAAAGTATTTAATTGTATTTTATAAATAATATTTTATTAGTAAAGTAAAAGAATGAGCTTTAATGTGTACAGATAATGAACGTAAAAATTAGTAATAACTAAATTATTATTAAAAAATTGTATGTTTTAAGAAATAACGAGAATTTTTTAATCAATATCCAATTAAATATTGGAAGTTATTTTCTAGTCATGATAATTATATCATACAAAATATAAAATAATAATACTTGAAGTAATATATTTAATTTTATATTAATTTAATTTATTCTTGTAACTTTGTTCTATGTTAAAGTAATTAGTGTAAATGATAATAGATATTAGTATAAATGTATATAAATTGTATACAAATATAGAATATTTTTGAAATTTTCTTGCAAAATTTGAGAAAAATTGATCCAAATTTTTTTTGAAGTGTAACAATTTTTTGTTTTGCCTTCACTTTTTCATTTTGCATAAGAGATATCATGTTTAAAGTAAATCTGTGAAATTACCTTGAATAAAAACAAACATCTTTACTTTATTTAAATTATGTGCATTGATGCTTTGTGATATGTGTTACTCCATTTAATATCCCATATATATAATGTACTTAATATTCAATTTCGTAGAAACAAAATTTGTTGTTTTATTAGTATATTTTAAATATATGTACTTTTTATTTATAATAATTTACATGTGTGTACATCAATTGATGTATGTATATGTACTTTTTATAAAATATACTATGATAATAAAATAATAAAACAAATTATATATAGTACAATATTACATTTTCTTATCTACAACATATTTTTGTTATGTACATACATTATTTATACTTTTAAATTCATTAATTGATTCTACCTTGCTATTTACATGAAAAATATCTCTCTTATCATTGTAAATATCAAATGTATGTTTATTGTCTTCTAATGGTACAATTAATTGTGCATTCTTCCTTTCTGGTAAAACTTGCAGAAAGACTTCTTGCCACGTTTTTCCTTCACTAACTCTAAGCAAAATTTCAAATACTAAAAAGATATACACACACACATATATACATATAAATATATAAAGTTTATATGTTAATTAGTAAATTTAATTTGTATCAATCATACCATGATCAACAGTCAAAACTTTCCTTGCCTTCATATTTAAAAATTTATCTAGAGGTAATCTGCCATGTCTCACACCAGCTTGCAAAGCTAATTTATGACAAAGGCCCTAAAATATAAATATTATATAAGAAATTTGTACAAGCTTTTTTTCTTTTCTTACAAATTTTGGCTTACTTTATGACTGTTATGATCAACAAGACCACCTATAACGTACACATAATCATGTTCTAACTGAGTAATTACATTTTCTGATTCGCTAGTAAGATATATAATTTTTTCCTTTGGATAAATATCCAAATAAGGTTCTGCATGAAATTTTACCTACACATTATTATATATTATATGTATTAAATTCCATAAAAGTTGAAACATAAATTAGATCAACTACATTTAATTTCTCTATAAAATTATTGTAATTTCATTAAAACAACATACATCCCAGTGTTCATATCCATTGTGCTTTTGCATATCGGTTTTTGATTTTCCATTAAAACTAGTAAGAGAAAATTGCATTGGTGCAATAGCTCGTCTATTCAAAGTATAACACCTCAGTATCTGTTTAGTTAATTTTGCAATATCCTTATCAATCATTAAATCATCAAAAGACAAATCAATAGTTATTCCAATTTTACAATTGCTATCTGCCATTGTGCTTTTCTTTAAAGCTTTCCTGGATGGTCCAAGATCTATATTATTTGCACGAGCAAACGCTCGTTTTTGTCTTATTTTTTCTCGTTCACGTAATCTGTGAAGTTAGAATAATTTTTAATAATATTGTTAAATTTAGTTACTAATATAATTTCATAAAATTTTTAATCTATTATGTGCAATTATATAATGGGTTGTAGAATCATACATAAATCTTTAATTTTTTAAGGAATTAATAAATAAAAACCTTCGCTCAACCTTTCGTGTTAACCACTTTTCCTTTTTTTTTACTTTCTTCAGCTGATGTTTACTTAAATTTGGATGCAATTCCGATAATTTTTTATTAAAACAAGTCTTCTGATCACAAACTTTTGCATATTGTACATTTCCAATTTTTTCAATATTATTTGTATCTATTTCATTCTCCATATTTTCACAAAAAATGTGGAAATGAAATTCGTGTTCCGTTTTGTGAAAGGATCTACTGAACTGTAACGTAGAATTACCTAAGAGAAATCTTGTTTCATTCAAGTGTTAACTATGCTTAAACACATGAAATTATAATAAACGTAAAGTAGCGTTACGTACTTTGTAACTTTTTTTTATAACAAAAACGTCATTGATTGTGTACGTTTGTTTACATTTAATTATTTTTCTATCAAAAAATAGAATTATTGTTTATTGTTTAATCGATTATAACTATTGCATTAACTTTTAGATCGTTTATTATGTTTTTGGCTCTTGCAACATACCGATAAATGTATTTTTTAAAGAAAATCCTTTAACATTTGATTCTATTTGAAAAATTAAATGAAATAATCTAAAATTTCTGGGGATATTATAATAGTGAAAATAAATGTTGGCAATTAGTTCAATAATCCTGGATGAAAATCTAAATCATCTTTCCGTAGTGAAAGCAGACGATTTTTCTCTAGTTTAGAAACGTGTTTGATCGGTTTTTGTGAAGTGAGAGGATGCAAGTTATTGGGGTTGATGGTCGTGTTGTTGGTTATTTTTTTTGTTTCCTAATACTCCAAGCAAAACTAACGAACTCGAGAACTTCTTGGAGGCTCAGTGCTGACAAAGTCGTCAAGACAACAGATTTCGTGAGCACGGTTGAGGATGATCCTATTTTCGATATCCTGGCAAGCAGCATTAGTGTCGGAAATGGACAAAGTTGGAGTAGAACAGCTATTTCTGAGAAATACGAAAAGATACAGCCTTATTGTCAAGATTGCAAAAGTGTTACTTCTGGGACTCACGAACGGTAAGAAATTGCAGGAGTTTAGTTAATCCTGGTAAGAGCTACGTGGCATATCTCGTTTCAGAATGTTAGATTGATACTTTTAATATATCTTAAAACAAATTGGATTATATTAAAATCTTGATCTATATTTTTCAAATATACAATCAAGGATTTATATATGCTTGAAGTAAATTATATTAAGATCATGTTTCATAATTTTCTCAAAACATTCGTAATAACATTCCATTTAATTGGAAAATATTTAAAGATCTCTCAAAGATAAATATTTTGTTACATTTTTGTATTTATTTAGTCCAATTCATGATATTGATGTTTACAATACACAACATATAATAATATCAATGAGATATTTATGGAAATGTAATAAATAATAATATAGTTTATATTTGACATTATTTTTATTTACATTGCATGTTTTGCATGTTTTGTATGATTATTAGTATGTAATTTATTATTATAATATATGTTTCACCTATTACATTATATTATCAAAAAAGTACAAGACTATACAAAATGTTTAAATTTAAAAAAAAATAAAATTAAATAGTTGTATAAAAATGTTTTAACATGAAATATATAAGGATTCTTAATTAATTAATGAAAAAAAATTTATATAGACATATAAACATACTTTGTATAGACGTATAAACATTTTTATTTCTATATTTTAATTTTAATTAATTTTTATATTTTATATTTTTTCTTTTTAATGATTGTTATAAATAACCTGATGTAATTTTCTTTTTCTTCCTGTAGTTAGTATTTGTGTGTGGCTTACTGTTCTTTCAGCGTTAAAAAAGCCCTAACTTTGGTCCCCTTGGCAGACGATTCTCGTCATACGTGTTGAAGGATACACCAAACGCCACTGAATCTTTCCCTCTATCATCTCAAGTGTCAAATGAGCAAGTCATGTGTACTTCTGGCCAACAATGTGAGGATATAATCCTGGATTGTGGAAAACCTGTCAATTTTACTTATTATGACAACTTGCTCGGTGTTGCAAATAGAGATAAACATCCACTGGTTCCAGAACCTAATGTAGCACTCATGTTTAAGAAGAATGGTGGCAAAACTATGGATGTTGACATTGATTTGTTAGAGAAACGTTTAATAAAAGCAAAACGGGAGGTATGTTTATTAGGGAATACTTTGTTTATAAATATATAGTTTATATATGTATATATATAATATTTATTGAATTTGTTGTAGAAACCAAAGTCTGTTCAACTTTACAATCAAATAGGAAATTTTTGGCGCATAAAGGGTGATGCACAAAGATCAATTGAATGCTTTCGCAGAGCACTTGCTGTATCACCACATAATGCAGAAGTTTTGTTAAATTTAGCTAGAGTATTATTAGTTCAACAATATTTGGATGATGCAACATATTTAGCAAGACGTTCTTTGGAATTACAACCTCCAGATCGTAATGCTTGGGAACAATATCTTACGCTTGGTCAAATATTCAAGGTAATTGAAAGTTTTAAAAATGTAAAATTTGTTTTATGTAATAATAATGCATTTAAATATATATTCTATTTGATGATTCTTATTTATAATACAAAACTTGCAAATACAAAAGAATCTTTAAACTTGTTTTGAAATATCATTAAGAGATAATTTATCATTACAATGTTTCCTTCATTTTTAGGCATATGGCCATTATCAAGAAGCAGCTGTACATTTACGACATGCTCTAGAATTAAAACCAGATCTCTCTGAAGCAGCAGAAGCTTTAAGAGAGGTGGAATCACTTCCGGCTGCAAGCATACATATCTATACATTACTGATAATTATATGTCTGGTATGTAAGATAAAAAGAAGTATCATTATATTGCTTCATTAGTACATATTATATTAAAATAAAATATAAATAATTGTTATTCATGATATATATTCAAAATACATAATATTTATATTGCAGGTACTTGGAGTACTATTAGTAGTTTTAAGCAGTGTAGAATGTGATGAAGATTCTAGTCTAGTTAATGGACAACTTCAACGTCCAGTTCAACGTCATTTTAGTCGCGCTATGGCTATGCGCAGTTTACGGCTTAATGTTGCCCGTAATAAACGTTGTTGATTATTTGCTAAAAAAATGAAAAACTTTGTGATAGAATAAAATTTTCAGCTATTGTTATTATTTATCTAACTATGAAATATTATTTGTAATATAATTTTTATGATTATGCAATTTATTATAATTATAAATGAAAATATACAATAACAAACAACACCATTTTCCATTTACTTTACAAAAAGAAAAATAGCGTTAATGATAACATATTTGAATGCAAACGTCTTAGATGTGTGTACTATGTACACACACGTGCGCAAGTGATTCATTATAGTACTTTGGAATGTCATTTACGGAATTATAAGATATTTTTGTGATTATGTTAAATATTAACATAGATATTATTAACAATATTACTTAACATCATTTACAATATACAGTAATATTAGAATATAAGTAATCACTTTATGTACCTACTCACAAGATCTAATGAACTTTTTTTTTATATCTGTAAATAATTTACAATCATGTACTTAATTTAAAATTTAATATCATATTTAAATAATAATTTTTAATATATACATGAAATGAATTTCTTTTACTCCTGCAAATAAAAATATCTAATAAATTTATTTTACATTATTTTGAATATAGATTAATTTTTTGTTCATTTAATAACATTTTCTAAGATTTTATACAATAATCTTTTCAGATGTGAAACAATAATTTTCTCTTTTACTCTATATTTTTTTAAATATATAGTGTTTTCATATTATTTCTAATTTTATATTTGATCTACAAAATATTTAAACAAAATTCAAATCAATATCAACGTAAAATAAATGTTTAAAGCGTTTTAAAAATAAAGGAGTACAATACAAAGATCTTACATTTCATACAACTGAATGATAGCGCAATAATGCGAAATATCTTTTTCTTAGCTTATCAATGCAAAAAAAGTCGAAATATAATCCAAAAACGTAATAATCTATAAAATTAGGCCGTACATTTGTACAATTTCTTCTTTATGTACAAATACCGGAAATTAATATTATTTAAAACTATATATTCTACAATTCATATTCCTTTAAGGGTTTTCACAAAGAATGTATCCATGCAATAGAAAATACTGAAAACATTTTCAGTGTATTTAACATTGTACTAATAATAAAAATTCTTGTTATTATTAGTATAAATTTTATATCTGATGTCATAAATTTTTATTATTCTCTAATCATTTAATACACCTCTCATCGTTCCAACTACTTTCTTTTTGAATTTGTACAAAATGATAAACTTATTAGTTGACTATTTATATAAAAAAATATGAGTATTTCACACATTTCATATAATTTGTTTAAATAAGAGATATAATATGTACATTTTTTAATATTTTTATATAAATAGTAAAAAATACAATAGAAGGAAAATTAAATATCAATCTAGACTCCTTAGTCTATTTTAATATTTTTTTAAATCATACTAATATATGTTAGTGAATAAATATTTATTTTATTTAATACTTGAACAAAAATCATAAAAGCTTAATTCTTAAATAGAATGTTTTATTAATTTAAGAATTAATTTTAACTGAATTAAAATACCATTTTTTTAAAAATATGTAAATACTATATCGTAATACAGTGAAATATATGCAGTTGATTTACTATATACATAGAAACATCTTTGTCAATAATTACCCTTAAAAGATATCTATATGCAATATGCACTTATGTGCATATACAAATTAAAATATGCAAATATAATTCTATAGCACTGCTATATTAAATTTTAATATAACCTTTCAAGTTAAAATTGAACCCAACTGGCATTTCCCACTGTTGGTGGTTGTTGAGTTTGAGATTGCTGTGATGCACTTGCAAATTCTCCCCATTCAGAACTTGGTTGATTTTGATTCTGAACAGGTTTATGTGCTGGGGATGAAGTTGGAGTTTTTGCAGGTGGTGGTGCAATTTTTACACCACCTGGTGGAGGTGGTAAACCCAAGTTTGTATTGGCACGTTGTTTTGTTTTAGCAGCAACTTCACTACCATCCTTTTTCTGTATATTATAAATATAAAAATCTTAAAATTTATTACATAATTTAATATGTAAATTTTTACAACAGTCAAAATAGTAGAAAAAAACCTTACAGTAATTTTCATGTTTATTTTTATTGTTTCTCCTTCTTTAAATCTGAGATCCAGCTCTTGTTTTGGTGTATCTTTTTCCTTTTCTATTTGTTCTTGATTTCTAAGCCATTTAAAATGGTCTTGGAGGGCAACATTTAAATCAAAGCTATCAGATCTATCGAGAAATCCAACACCAATAAAAGCCGATCTTCCATTATCATCTTGAATTCTTAGAACAAAATAACGAGACGAATCTGTCACTGGTTCAACTGCAATTCCTGGATATTGTTCTATGGGACATTTTGCAAACAATTCTCCAGTAATTTTATCTTCCAATTTGATAGTAATGGAGTCTCCCTGAGAGACAAGACGCATACGTCCAGTCCACGTAGGTTCTTGAAGATTCCAATCAGCTGCTCTGAAATGTTATACATATTTATTAAAAATAAAGTATTTGTTTCCTGATTTACAAATAATAATTTATATTTTCCACATTATCACATAAATAAATTTATATTTTATTGAAATTAATATGTATATTTTTTATATTATAAATATTTAACATTTTAAAAGATCTTCGACACACATATCATGAAACATAATTTAGAATCAAATTTCTATAATTTCAAAAGTTTTACAAATTCAAGTCTTGTAAATCTTTATGACATTTTATTCCAGATGTAATATGTACCAATATTATGCTTTTGACAATTTCCGGTGTAACATTTGCTGACGTATTAAACGTCACAGCTGAAATTTATAAAAGAAAAAAAAAGCACAAGATAGTAAATTTTTTGGAGAGGTAATAAACAAAATAGCGTGTGTAAATATATCTTCGCATACGTTGTTCTTTTTTACGAGAGGGAATATTTTTAAGAAAAATACTGTCAAAAAGAATCAATCGTACCGATAACCCCTATTCGTTGACCTTGGCGGAATTTTAAATACAAATACTTCAGATTTCACAAGTAATACACTTTCATACGTATCCATTGTATTTTTTGACAAATCACAGAGAAAGTGCTTACGTTCGGGAATTGGAACTTAACGAAGTACTATTTCAAAATTCGTTTATATTTTGTGACGGATCTCTGCCGTGATTTGATAACTTTATCTTTAGTCACGCCTCCCATCCCCACACAAACACTGTTAACCATGGATTATTTTACTAGTGATAATAGGTCGTCTTTTACATAGTATATATTTGCTCACTACTTGCTTGAATTGAAGTGAAGAGAATCAATTTTTATTGATTTATGTAGAATATTTTTCTAATGTTTCTCTAAAATTACGGAAACATAAAAATTCATGGTCGTTGCTAATTCTCACATTTGTTGCGAGATCTTCAGATTTAAAATGAATTAAACTCATATCACGAACTGCATTTAGCGATATTTTATTAAATAGAAGGAAATAAATTTATTAGAATACTTTTTCTTTGAAGATCATTTTATAAAAGATTAATTAGCTTAACGTTAGCTCCAAAATGATTCATAAAAATTCATGTAGGGATGCTCTTCTAAATCTAAAGGCTCCTAAACGTAAAACATTGAAATCCCTTATGAATAATTCAAGAATGATTGAAATGAATCTTTATACGTCATATGGTGTAATGTATATGACGCTAGAAAGGTTATAACTAGTGGTTCTGAAATGGAGGCATAAACTTTGAGTTCATATTTATAAAAATAAAAATCGAAAAGAACATTGCGGAAAAATAATAGACATTTAGCGATGAAAGTTCCGAATGATCGACAGGATACTCACGTCCCAGGACGTGAGAATAGCCAAGCGTTTCGAATACCTACACATGATCCAACGTAAATACGTTAAATACAATTTTATATAAACATTTTCGTTAATTTATATATCACACTATAATTTATGTAATATGTTTACTTCAATTCAGAAATTGTAAGTTGTATTATGTAAATGTTAAATACATATACTTTTAATAAAAGAATATATATATATATATTTATTATACATGTGTAATATATTTATACTATATTATAATTTGTTTGTTTAGCCCTGAACATTATCCACCAGAAAGCTATAACTCTCCAGGTACGTCACAACCACAATATCAGGAACAGACAGGTTTTGAGAATCAATCCCAATTTGAGCAACCTATGACACCGGCAACTCCAACTAACATGAGAATTACAAGGAATACACGTGCAAGATTACGTGGTATGATTCCAAGTGATATTTCTCTGTTATAGATTTTTGAATACTAATCTTTTTTCAGGAGGGCCTATACAACAACCTAAGTATAAAGAAATTGATATGGATTATATTCCAACTACTAGTAGTAGAGGAAGAGGAGGTAGTGGACGTGGGCGAGGAAAAAGAACACATCATTCACAAAGTTTAGAAGATGAAGCTAGTCTTTATTACGTCATTAGAAACAATCGGTCTTCATTAACTGTATGTTATATTTAAAAAAAAGTTTGTTAAAAGTGTTTGAATCATAAAAATTATCATACTAAATATATCATAGTAAATTTGTAGATAGAAATCTATGTATGTATGTATGTATGTATTTATGTATACATACACCACACATACACACACACACATATACATATTTATATACACACATATCTTTTTGTAGACTATTGTTGATGATTGGATAGAAAAGTACAAAAGTAATAGAGAAAACGCTCTTCTTATGTTAATGCAATTTTTTATTAATGCAAGTGGGTGTAAAGGACGTATTACATCTGAGATGCAAGCAACAATGGAACATGTGGCAATAATTCGTAAAATGACTGAAGAATTTGATGAGGTATGTTAATATTTATTTTTAATAAATAAATATTTTTCTTATATAATTTATAACTTGAAATATAGGAAAGTGGGGAGTATCCATTGATAATGACTGGTCAACAATGGAAAAAATTTCGTGCAAATTTTTGTGAATTTGTTCAGATTTTAGTTAGACAATGTCAATATTCAATCATTTATGATCAATTTTTAATGGATAATGTAATTTCATTATTAACTGGTCTTTCGGACTCACAAGTAAGAGCTTTCAGGCACACTGCTACTCTTGCTGGTAAGAAATATTTTCATTTTAAATAAACATTTAAATAATAATAATAAAAAAAAAGTTAAATTTGAAGTATTAACGCATTAATTGATCAACAATTTTTGAACGTTCATGTATGAAAAGACAAATTATATTGATAATACGAGTATATGATTAGTCAATAATGTGTTAATGATATATTGTATTATTCTTGCTTTAGCTATGAAGCTCATGACAGCATTAGTAGATGTTGCTCTAACTGTATCAATAAATTTGGATAATACACAACGGCAATATGAAGCTGAAAGACAAAAAGCGAGAGAAAAGAGAGCTGCAGATAGATTAGAATCACTAATGGCCAAACGAAAAGAACTTGAAGAGAATATGGATGAGATCAAAAATATGCTTACATATATGTTCAAATCCGTATTTGTACATCGCTACAGAGATACATTGCCAGAAATTCGCGCAATTTGTATGGCAGAAATAGGAGTATGGATGAAAAAGTTTCATCAAAATTTTTTAGACGATTCTTATTTAAAATACATAGGTAATATTTAATGTTAATATTATAAACTTATATATATTCTACGATACAAATAAATTTATTATATGCTATAGGTTGGACATTACATGATAAAGTAGGTGAAGTTCGATTAAAATGTCTCCAAGCATTGCAACCATTATATGCCTCAGAAGAATTAAAAACTAAACTTGAACTGTTTACAAGTAAATTTAAAGATAGAATTGTTGCAATGACATTGGATAAGGAATATGATGTAGCAGTCCAAGCTGTCAAACTTGTTATTTCAATTTTAAAACATCACAGAGAAATTCTTACTGATAAAGATTGTGAACATGTATACGAACTTGTTTATTCTTCTCATCGTGCCGTTGCACAAGCAGCGGGTGAATTTTTGAACGAACGTCTATTTCGTCCTGATGATGAAGCAGTAGCAGGCGTTAAAACTAAACGTGGAAAAAAGCGTTTGCCAAATACACCACTTATTCGTGATCTTGTTTTATTTTTTATTGAATCTGAACTTCACGAACATGGGGCATATTTAGTAGATTCTTTGATTGAAACGAATCAAATGATGAAAGACTGGGAATGTATGACAGATTTACTGTTAGAAGAAGCTGGACCTGAAGAAGAAGCTTTAGATAATCAGAAAGAAACATCTTTGATTGAATTGATGGTTTGTTGTATAAAACAAGCTGCTACAGGTAAAATTTTATATTTTTATGTATTTGTGAAATCATAGGATAAATATAAACTTCTTGCAATTTTTAAAATAGGCGAAGCCCCAGTTGGTCGGGGGCCAACTAGAAAAATTTTATCAGCGAAAGAAATGAAGCAAGTTCATGATGATAAACAACGGTTGACAGAACATTTTATACAAACATTACCTCTTTTACTTGATAAATATAGGGCAGATCCTGAAAAACTTGCAAATTTACTTGCTATTCCCCAATATTTTGATTTGGATATTTATACAAAATCTCGACAGGAACAAAATTTGGATTCGTTGTTGAATAAAATTCATACGATTGTAGAAAAAATGCACGATACTGAAGTTTTAGATACAGCCGCAAAAACATTAGAACATATGTGTATAGAAGGGCATGCTATTTTTACCAGGTAAATTTTATGATGATATATACTAAAATTTTATTAAAAGAATATTTATTATTTTTTGTTTCAATGTAGGTGTGATGTAGCACGGTCAACGTTAATTGATTCTATTGTAAATAAATATAAAGAAGCTATTGATGAATACAGAAATTTAATAGAGGGAGACGAGGAACCAGATGAAGATGAAATTTTCAATGTTGTGCAATCTTTAAAAAAAGTTTCAATATTTTACTCTTGTCACAATATGAATCCGTGGGGAATATGGGATTCTTTATATAAGGATATTGAGGATGCCAAAGACCCAACTAAGTAGTAACATTATACTCATTTACATTCGTGGAAATTGTATGCACACAAACGTATGAATATTTTATTATAGATGTTTACCACATGAGGCAGTTAAATATTGCATAAGTGCATGTTTCTTTGCAATTTTGTGGGGACAAAATCATCTTATGGAAGCTGCGGACTCTGGAAATCGAGGTGAAGATGAATGTCGACAATTGAAAGAGCGTTTGCATTCTTTTATGGGTTCTATGCGTTATTTTGTCAGTGGTGATGTAAACGGCACGGTAATTACTTTCTTTCTTGTTAACGTAACTTATTTTATATTCTTATATATAATATTTGTTAATGTTATTTTAGCCTTCTCCACCTATTTTAAGAGAAGAAGCATATAATACAATATGCGATTTATTGGTAGTATTCTGTAATCAATTGACAACACATTCTAATCCTTTAATGCATCAATTAGTATATGAGCCTGATCAAGCAATGCAAAATATGCTTAATCGCTTTATTCAAGAATATGTATTTTTTGAAGAGGAAGATGGTATGCTATGATAATTTATAAAATATTCACGTATATAGATTTATATATTAAAAGAATCGTATCTAGAATATATATGTATACGTATATCATATTTATAGATGAACATGACGAACATTCAAAGATTGAAGAATTACATAAAAGAAGAAATTTTCTGGCGGGTTATTGCAAATTAATTGTATATAACATGATACCCACAAAAGCAGCAGCTGATGTTTTTAAACATTATGTAAAATATTATAACGATTATGGTGATATTATTAAAACTACATTAGGAAAAGCCAGAGACATTAACAAAACAAATTGTGCTTTAACTATGCAACACAGTTTAAATATTTTGTATAATGAAATAGTAGCAGAGAAAGGCAAAGTTAATAGAAACAGTGAGGAATTTACTGCAATTAAGGTTTGTTTGTAATTTTATAATTTTAGAAAAATATAGAAAATCTATATTGAAATAAAAATATACATTAATATTTTCAGGAACTTGCAAAACGATTTGCTTTATCATTTGGTTTAGATGCAGTGAAAAATCGTGAGGCAATTACTGCTTTGCATCGAGCAGGTGTCCTTTTTGCAATCACGCCACCAGACGGTATCGAACAAGATCCTACAGGACCACCACCTAATTTATCCTTTCTTGAAATATTATCTGAATTTACAAATAAGCTTCTTAAACAAGACAAACGAGTCGTGTAAGTATAATTCTTATTCAATGAATTAATTGAACTGATTTTAATGAATTTAATGAGGTTATATGTTTTTCTGTCACAGATTAAATTTCCTTGATAGAAGATTACAAGCTGGAATGCCATCCTCACGGGGAGAGGATTGGCAACCTTTACTTCTGTACAGGAACAGTTTATTACATGGCGAAACAGATCAAGTTCCAGTAACAAGTAAGCGTGCATATACAAGACGTAAAAAGGACCATTTAGCTGGTATGTTGATAAATATAATGCTTTAAATGAAATTTTCAATAATTTTAGAGATATTAATAAATATTTCATTTCTTTTTACTTTTTAAATGATTATGTTTATTTTAACTTATGACAATTTATATAAAATGTTTGTAGAAGAAGAAGAAGCAGATGAGCCTGAAGAAGGTTCTGATCATGAGTTTTCTGGGTAAGTTAGGTGTTTATGTGAAGCTAGTAAAGAATGAAATATGTTTTTATATTTTATTTACTAAAATAGTTATGATCTTGATAATGAAAATTTTTCTTGATTGATATAATATATACATACTTATATGCAAAATACGCTTTATTGCTTTTAAAATATAATTTATGCTACGAATGACAAGTATTTAATATAGTTATAGAAATTACACGCTTATGTAGATATTGCACATAGTGTTGTAAAAATCTGAGTCTCGAGCTTCCAGCTTTAAGGGCTAGAAATCCTTGAGGTTTAACCGTCGGAGATTTGAGTTATTTAAATTATATACAATGATGATTGTAAACAGTATCGTAGACGGTGAAATGTCATATATGACGATGATCGTTTACTTTAAGCTTAAGAACTTGAGAGCTCAATCTTGAAGTTTTAAAAACTTGAGATCCATATGATAATGGCCCTAAAAATTCAGCTTTTAAGCTAGAGAATATTAAGCCCCAAAGCTTTGAAGACTGAAACTTTATACAACACTAAATGCACAGATAATGTGTACATTTCTTTTCAGTATTATTAGTATTATGCTCGCGTATTAATGAATGCTAAAATTGTATTATCCGTACATTTGTAGTTTTATTACTAATAAAATTATCTTTTCTCTCATTATACTTAATTTTTATTTTGCTTCATAATATGCTTCATAATATGTTGAAAGGTATTACTAGTATTAAAAAGTATAAGATACTAGTATTAAAAGTATAAAAAATATTTAAATATGTAAGATACTTTAAGTTATAAAATAATTTTAATTTAAATATGTTTTATGCAAAAATATTTGTGATATATTTTGAAATGCAATATATTATAAGCTTATTGATATTTTAGTTTTATTATTGAACAAATTTTTATAATGCCACATTGTTTTTTTAGAAATAAAATTTTTTAATACACTATCTCTTACACATTTATTATTTAATTGCATGCTTGTGCTTAATTCATTAATAAATACTTATTGCCAATGGCGTCTTTATGTAAATTATAAATCTGTTGTGTTTGCATGAGTAGTAATCTTTTATGAATCGCTTGTTGCAGGCTACCTGATCGTTATTCAAGCTAAGACTTAGTTTTTAGCAAAATCTATAATATATTATAATCATATAAGGGGCAAAAATTATATAAGGAATTAATGAGGTCTGTTATTATTGGTGCCTGTTTTAAAATCAACTTTGAAACTAGTAATAAGGAATTGTATGTAATATTGTCAAAATATCAAATTAAGTATCAAACATATATTTAAATATGTAAAGAGCAAATGTTATCTGAGGAATTGATGAAATCTGTTATTCTTGGTGCCTAATTTGGCTACTAAAGAACTCATCTTCTATAAACTAGTATAAGGAAAATAACATAAAAAATGAACAATGATATAATGAAATGATAATATTTTTGGAACACCTGACACAAAAAGTACATAGAGAACGATGTGTGTTCTGTTGAACCTAAGAACTTTAAACCAAGTAAGTTTAAAATACTTTGTATTCTGTTTATATATTGATAATATACAAATTGGTAATAGATATAATGAACATGTGATATTAATTAAAATAATACCCTTTTCTCCTACGAGTTCCCAAATCCTGCTATCAAAATTTAAAATCCATAACAGATAAATATTATACTTTATAAAGCTTTTTCTCTATTAAAATCTGCAGGAAATGTGACAGAATTAACCCATTGTTTCACATTTCCTGCTTAATATCGGATTTTTATATTTTACATTTTTTAACACGCCGTTCTCTATTATCACCGCAACATCATAGAAATGTTTTTAGGTATTTAGTTTGTTAATATTTGGGTTAATTCTGTGTACTTTATTCAGATACTTTATTGTTTTATCAAAAGTAGTAATCAAATGCATTAATATGTATGTACGTGATGTGAATTTTGTAATACATGCGTATGTTCGTATTATATGGAAGATGTATGTAAAATTTCAAAGTTATTTAACATAAATTTTTGTCCCTTTATTTATAATATCAATTCTAATATATTTCCATCAATAAAAACTTTTTCTTTCAGTAAACACAAGAAGAAACGTGGTTCAAGAAAACACCAGTGAGTAAATTCATACTTTATCTCCATAATTATAAAAGATTAACTTTAGGTGTATGTATTTATTAAGAAGAAGATAATTTTGTAAATTATATACATTTAAACAAAAAATATGTCTATTTCATTTAAGTGGAAAAGTGATGTTTATAATATAAATTTGAATCATCTTTTGTAGTACCATTAATTTGAATCTTCATTTCAGATTAGCTGTTAATAAAGTATCAATAACTCGTGGATCTAGAGCAGCTGGATTTTATGAAACCAATGAAACTACACAAATGCAGACATCTCCAACTGCAATTATTGAAGATGCATCAACCAGTCCTTCTCAAGACATAGATAATAAACTTAAGACATTACAAATTCAATCGAGGTCGTAAGTAATGAATTTTTAAATTTTATAAACCTGAGAATTTTCTAAATAAAAATATTTACAATGAAAATATTTTCGTAGACGAAGAAGTCAAGATAACGTAGAACCAAGGGAATTAAGAAGAACTTCTAGAAATTCTGGTCGTTATGTAGAAGGACAATACATGGTAAGTTATAATAATTTTTAATTTATAATTTTCATATTCATAATTATTACTATTAAACTATACTTTACTTATTATTACTATTAAAATTTCGATAAAGTAACTCTTTAATAACGAATTTTACGTTTTAATTGTATAATATAAAGTTAAAAATTATATTAATTTGAGTTTGTGTGCACATTCCTCTTTTGCAATACTGTGATGATCGTGAGTTTAAAATTGTGACGAGCTCTTTTTTATTTGATTATTGATCTAGAGTTAAAAATATCAAATTTTATATATATAATAAAATATAATGTATCAGTACGTGAGTATATAGCTTCATGGCATAAAACATTTAAAACTCTTAATATATGTGTAAAGTATACTCATAAAATAAAATGAAGATATTTCTTATGTTTATATAATTACACATAATTATGTATTAATAATTAATTTTATATTACAGTTAAATAGTTACATAAAATATTAAAAATTGAATATAGTTCATATTAATATAGTCCTCTTATAAAATAATAAAATTCTTTTTTGTTGTAGGAATCCGATTCTGAATAATGAAGTACAAAAAAAAAAAAGATAAAATTATTATAAGACAAAATGATTTGTGATATGTTTATAATATACGTGTCGTATCGAATAAGTTTTAAATGATGAATAATATAAAAACTTATTCAATCAATTATATACGCAATATAAATAATGAATTCACAAATCAATTACTAAGTTCCATTTTACGTTCAAGATTCCTGCATTTTGTAAATGATTTTTTTAAAAATATTATTTTCGTTGCTCAAAGTCATATTTTCTTTGAAATTTACTAAATATAACAAACAATACATTTATAGCGTTAGCGTTACTAAGGCGTTCTTCGTACATAAAACTTTATTACATTATTATCATTAGAAAATTATTTAAAAAGTATCTACACAACATATAAGAGATAAATATCTTTTGAATATCATTTACTTATTTAAATTGCTTATTGTTATATTATTATATATAATTATAATGATATTATTATAATTTATATCATCATAATATATTCTACTTGTTACTATACAATTATTATATAATCTGATGTGAAACGCTTAAAAAAAATACATTTGTTTTTTACAATAATAATAATAATTATTATTATTAAACACATTTTATATTATGTATGTATGTATTTTCACCTATCATTTGCGTTACGATGTTTACGAAAAATACTACTTCTTCTACGACCTCTTGGTGTAACAATAACTTTCTATAAAAAAATGTAATTTCATATTTACATAATCCATGTAAAGTTTTTTATTTATTATATTATTAAGTGTAAAAAATAAAAAAACAAGAAAGTAATAAATTATTTTTAAACAATATGAATAACTTACTTCATCTTGGCCTCGTGAAAGGAATAAATTTCTTAATGTACGTGGTGTAGTTGTTGCCCTCTCTTTGTTCTTTTCTCTTAATATTCTTGAACTTGGACTTCTTAGTTCATTACCCTTCAATTATTTATTAGAAAAAATTTTTAATTAAATATTAACTTTGTAATACAAATATATTAATATCACTTATCTCATTTACCTGTAATGATAATCTTCCTCCATTTTTACTAGGAGTTGGAGGACCAGGTTTTTTATATGAAGTCTGTAAAACAAATATTAAACACGAATAATGAATGTTTTAATTATAAATTGAAAGTAAATAAAGAAAGAAATGCTTTTATATATAAATTTTATATAATATATAAAAAATGTATTCTGAAAGGTTATTAATTGTTGAAAAATTATCTTATCAGATATTATACGTGATACATACCTGAGTTCTATCCTTTTTCTTAGGTTTTTGTTCAGGAAGTAAACTTTGACTCAAACTGTCATTAAATATTTCATCTGTAACTGAACCTGCCTATGATTGAATTAAAAACAACAAAATATATACATACTTATATATACAGACAATTAAAATTAATAAGAAAATTAATTCAAAACTATAATTATACAAATATAAAATGCTTACTTTAATTTCTTCTTCTGTAAATGACAAAGGATGAAATTGCATTTCAGCAGGATAAGATGATTTCAAATGAGGTTTGCAAAGAGCATTCCTTTTTTTCAAAATAGATAATCTATCTGTATCAATGCTCATTGAGAAATTATCATCTTTCATGTCAGCTAATAATTTAAATTTACCTCATTAATCGAAATCAATAAAATTAGTTTTATTTAAAAATTATTTTTAATTTACCTAAATAAATATTATCAAACACTTCTCCTTCTTCATCTTCTACATTAAATGCATTGCCCATTGTTTGTATATTCCTAATACTATATCTTCTTTCGTATGTTGCCTTTTCTTGGATTACTGCAATTTTATGTAAAACATCTTTATTTTCTTCTAATGCTTCCTTTTTCTCACATCTGAAAAAAGAGAATTTAAACAAGATATCTAAAAAAATAAATAAATTATTAGTTACTCATTATTCTTACTTAGCACTTTTATGTTCTATTAAAGAAATTATTTTTTTATCTAAATTTTGATATTTAGCTTTCAATTCAGTTAATTCCTTCTGTAACTTTTCTTTTTCTTGTTTTTCACTTAACAATTTTTCTCCAACAGTCCAAAGTTGAGAACTCATGTTAGCAACATGTGTCTTATATTTACTTAATTCATCTGCCTGTTTACGACATTGTAATTCCATTTTCTTTTGTAATGACTCTAATGTTTCTTGTACGCACTGTTCTTGTTCTCTGTTTAGCTTTGTTATTTGTTCATTATATGCTGTTTTCTGTAATATACGTTATAAAAATAAACGAGTTACAAGAATTGCAAAAATAAAAAACATTAATATGCTTACCATATTTTGTTTAATTTCATCTATTTTAATTTTATATTTATCATAAATATCTTTTAATTGTTTATCAACATCCTCTTTTTTTGGTCGTTTGCTTAATTCATCCCTTTCTTTTTGTAGCTCTGAATTTTCTTCTTTTAATTGTGTTAACTCCTTCTTTAAATTTTCTACTTCTTTTAATGATGTTATTTTTATTTCTTGCATTTTAGTGCTTAATTCACCAACATCATTTTCCAATTTTACATTTTTTATGCGTGCGCAGTCTAATTCACTTTCTAAGTTATTCTTATCTTCTATCAATTCATTAATTTGCAATTGTAACTTTTTTTCTGCTTCAGATTGGAATTTTGTTTCATCACATTTAAAATCATTTTCAAAAGAAATAACTAATTTTAAAAAATCATCAATTTCACTCTGTAATTGAATAATATTTTCATGTAATATTTTATTTTTATGAAATTCTGTTTCAATTACTATTTTTTGATCAAAAAAGACATCTGAAGAAATATCTAATATTTGTTTATCTTTTTCTTCCAACCGAATATCTTTTATTTTTTGTTCAGACCAAGAAAATTGTTCCCATAAAATATTTTGTAAAGATTTTATATTTTGAAAATAATGAATATGGTGCTTAAATAATGCTTTTTCTAAATATGTTTTTTTGGTTTGTATATGCTTTAATTCATCACACACAGATTTATCCATCATAAGAATACTATAAGAACTTGTTAATAAATTATCCCATTTTTGTGTTAATCTATTTAAAGATGTATCTAAATCTTCTCTTGACTTTATAATATTCTTTAAATAATCTTTTAATGATTCCTTATGCTTGATAAGCATATTTATATTTTTTACGCGATCTTTATATAAATTATTTAGTTCTTGTATTTTAATTTTTAATAATTTTATTTCTTCGCATTTTGCAACATAATTATCTTCAATTGTTTTTTGATTTTTAAGACTTTCACTTAAGTTTGCGTTTTCATTTGAAAGTTGTAAAATTAATTTACGTGATATCTGTATTTCATTAATCGATGCTCTTATTGTTTTTAAAACATTTTCAATTGCATCATCATTATTTATATTTTGTATATTATATGTACTATCAATGTAAGTATTTGCATTCTTTGTACTTATTTCTGCAATTGTTGATTTTAAATCATTTACTGAATGTTGTAATTTCTCACAAGTTTGTATAATTTCTAATTTTTTCATATCTTCAGCTTTACAATATTCCTTACTTTTATTAAGTTCATTTTTTTCTTCCTTTAACATTTGTTGTAATTCTTCTATAGTTTTTGTTTGTTTACAAGATTCTGTTTCTAATTTACAATTTGTACTTTGCAAATTCTGACATAATAATTTTTTGTTTTGAAGTTGTTTACAAAGTACTTCTTTAGATTTATTAAATTTTTTCTGTAACTGTTCTAGCTGTAAACATTTTTCTTTTAAAGCTTTCTCTTGTGTTTTTAGAACTGCATCTTGATTAGTTCTTACTTCTTGCAGATTTATAATTACTTCTTTCAGTTTCATTTCAGAAGCAATTGTTTCTCTTGATAATTTTTCAAATTTATTCTGTACAAACTCCAGTCTTTCTTGTTTTAATTTTACTTCTATATTTAGTTGATCTGAGTAATGTTGTTTTTCTAACAATTTTGTTTCTAGTTCTTTTATAAAATTTTTCATTTTAATTTCTCCTCCTGTTTGTAAATGTATTATGTGTTCTTTTTCTAATTTTAAAGAAGTTATTTCTTCAAATAAATCTTCAATTTTCTTATTTTTAAATTTTAATTCATCTAATATATTACATACTTCTCGCTGAGATTTTTTAAAATTATCATTTACAACATTTAAATCAAGAAGAATTTTTTCATTTTCAGATTTAAGATCCTTATGTTGTTTTTGAAATACTTGCTGTGTTTCTTCAAATTTTTTCAATTTTTCTGTAGATTCTGTTAATTTTTGTTTAGTATAAATTAATTCTGCTTCCAAATCATTCATCCTTTCCTTACATTTTATTAAATCATTTTCTAATGTAACATTAAAATTTAAATTATCCTTTAATTTCTTTTTATTATCAGTAAGTTCATTTTCCAATTGATTCTTACAAAGTTGTTCTTTAGTGTAATTAATGTATAATATTTTATAAGTGTTCAAAATACTTTCACTAGTTTCTTTATTATATTTTTGATATTCGTTTATTTGATTTAATATATCTTTTTTCATTAAATAAAATTCCGTTTCAAGAGTTTGAATATTTTTCCTGAACATTTCCATACATTTTGAAGAAGCTTGCAATAACGAATCTTTCTTATTTATTTTTTCTTTATATATGTGCAAATCTTTTTCTAAAGCTTGTTTTTGAACTTTAATTTGTTTTAAATATGAAATTTCTTCAGTATATTTTTCTATAGAGATAGTGAGCTCATTAATTTTGATCATACTTTCTCTGATAGTTTCCTTCAACTTTGATATCTCTGTATTATTCTGCTCATCCTTTCGTTCTAATTTAGATATTTGTAACTGAAAATTTTCAAGCTTCAATTTCGCTTCATTCATATCATTGTTTAATAATTCGGTTTCTAGTTGCTTCAAAGTATATTTCTTATTAAAGTTAGATAATATTATTCGTATATGTTCTATAAGTTCAGCAATTGTTTTGTTTTCTAAATTATTTTCTATATAATCTATATTATCCGATATAATTTCTTTTAAATTTATATTATACAGATCAGCAGAATCTTTATACAAGTTATTTTGATTTCTTAATTCCTGAATATATTTAAGATTTTCAGATATTTGTGATTTGACTTCAGTAAGTTCAGTGTTTAATATGACATTATTTATATTTTTTTTATTTAAAGATTCCTCCAAGTCTTCAACTTTTTCTATCAAAGAATTTTTTTCAGTAATTAACTCGTTTTTGGATTTTTCAATATGTGATAAGGATTCTTTTTGAGACATACATAACATATCTAAATTTTTATTTTGATTCATTAGAGATGCTTTTTCTTCTTGTAAAATTTCAATTTGTTTAGTTAATTCATTTACAGTTGCATTCAATTTCGTTTCCGTATTTTGTAATGTTTGTGTCTTTTTTTCCAACAATTGTATTGTATCTTCATATTCTTGGTTTACAGATTGTAGTTTTTCATTTGTAGCATCAAGTTGTACTTTTAGTAAAGCAGACTCTTGTTTTGCTTCTTGTAATTGAATATCAATTACAGAACTTAAAACTTCGCTGGTATTTAAAGATACTGAAGGTGACTGTAAAGGTGCTATACCGTCAATTTCAAAACTTTGTTCTTCAACTGCTGTTTTACAAAATTCTTTTAAATGAGTGCGTAACTCCTCATTAGTCATTCTTAAATTTACCAATTCCCTATCTTTAATTTCTCCCTGAATCTGCAAGTTTTCTAAAGACTTTTCACAATTTTCTACTTTTTCTTTAAAATACATACATTGTGTTTGTATAGATGTCAATTTTTTTGTCAATGTATCATTATCTGCTTCAAGTTTATCTATGTTACATTGTTTCTGGATTAATTGATCTTCTAAATGATCTATCTCTTTCTTATAATATTGCTCATAGTCTATTGTATTCTTATTTTTTTTGCAAGATTGTGGAGTAGTTGGTTTCATCTTCTCTTCTTTTAAAGCTTTTATTTCTACAATCTTTTCTTGTAATTTTTTTTGCAAATTTTGTATTTTATTTTGTTGAATTCGTAGATCTTCCTGTAAATCAACTTTTTCAAATCTTTCTACTTCTAGTTCACTCTTCAATATTCTTAATTCTCTGTTTCTTTCATTCAATAGTTTATGACTTTGAGCAGACCATGTTGCAGGAGAATTAAAGAAGTCCTTAAGAGTTTTTGTCTTAGGTGTAAGAGGTACTTTTAGTGCAGCAATCTCTATTTCAACAATTATTTCTTTTAATATTTCTCTATCTATATTTTTTCCATGGGGAATAGTCATTTCAAGAAATGATTTAATTTTGAGCTGTGTTTCATGTTGCAAATTAATACACATTGGGTGATAAAATAATGGTTCCTGAGATACTCGTAGTAAAAATAAAGATGCAACATAAATGTGTTCCATTTCTCCCAAAATTTTATCGTCGAATTTGTACTTCGGATATTCATCTGTAAAAAATATAAAAGGAAAATATAACGTAAGGAAATATAATACAATACAAAATGATTATATAATGCAACACTTATTATATTATATGCATATTTACATACCTTGTAAGAATTTTAATATAATATTTTCCGTATCTATATTATCTTCAACATTACCACTCCATGAACTATAAAATATAAGACAAAAATAAATACATTCTTGTAGAATGAATATTATATCAATGCACATTATGTATATTAAAATGGAAAATCTAAATATAAATATTAAAAAGTCACTTACAATGACTTTATTAGTTTCTTGTAAATTGTTCCATTATCCAATTCTTTCAAATCTTTAATATCCGTTTCTGATACATCCAAACAATTTAGCTAAAAAATACATATATATATATATATTTTATTTTAGAATAAACTGTAACATAAGTCATTCATGTATATTATTTACAAATAAAAGTTTTTAAACGTTTCACAATTATAAATTATAAACTCCTATTTATATGACGTTAGTACTAACCCATTCTAATAAAACTTCAATCCATACTTTCATGATTTGGAAAGAATGATCACTTATTTACGCTTGGGAAAATAATAATTAAAATTTATATGCTCTTTCGACATATACTTTTAACTTTTAACGTTCCATCGAAGGTACGTTTAATTTCAAATATTCACAACTTGGTTCATCCCGCAGGTAAACCTATCTAACTATATTATTATAGAAATATCCCTATTTCTACTCAAAATCCCCAGATATTTGTAAAACCATGCTCAGTTTTCAATAAACAATTCAGAGTTTATAAAAATTGAGAGTGTACAAAATATTTACAACATAATGTGTTCACTCATTCTTAATTTTAATTTTTCGTATTTGTGAATATACATGTATATACGAAATAAATTTGTTTTTGAAATACATTGGAAAAATGATTGCATATATTATATCATCATATTAAAATATAGTCAATATGTGTTATAAACTTGTTTGCAATAATTTACAATTGGAAGGTACGAATTATAGTGTAATCGTTTGTTAACAGTGATCACTTATTTTTTGCAGTTAGTGTGTGACAAATGATTTTATAATATTTTTTATAAATAAATTATTGACATAAACAAAACTAATCAAAAACATATAAAGTATGTATAAATGACTATAATTTGCAACAAAATCTTCACATTTATTACAGAATAATATTTTGTCTAAAATAATTAAATATAATGATAAAAATCCAGCATTACTATAATTATTCAATGATTTTTTATATTTGCATATCTGTCTTTCTTATCTTTCTCTTATCTTTTTTATCTAATTTAAATCATTACTTAATGTCTGTTCTATAATTCTTTTCATCAAATCGTTGCTTAATATGTGTATTCTATAATTCTTTTTTTATTAATAAGAAAAAGAAATATACCATATATACATATATATATATGTAAATTCTTGTTTTTAGTGGCATGACTAATTTGATATTTGGAATTGGTATTGGATTATTTCTTATTTTAATTCTATGGGCTTTGGCCCTACTAGTATTTATTATTTCTTTAAGAATTGAAAAGAAAATTGGTACTGTTGCTATAATTATAGTTAGTATATGCACAATTGTTTTAATTACATTGCCCAGGGAATCAGAGAAATCTAATACCATTGATAAGAAGGTAAATAATTATTTTATTTTGAAACTTTAATATATATATATTGTATATTTATTGTGTATATATATATATATATATATATTGTATTTATATGAGTATAAATAATTAATGCTCATATTGTTACAGATATATGATCATTTATTCATTTGGCGTATTCTATTACTGGTATTATTAATAATATCATCTATAGTTGGTTTAGTGGGATATGTGAAGTTTGGGATAGCAGAATCTATCAGACCAATTCGAATAACTAATTGGGTTTTTTAAAAACTTATAGTAAGTATTATTGCTTTATTGCAATCATTACGATAATGATGTATTAAGCCAAAAGAAGTTTAAAAGTACATTATTAATTTTTAATTTTTATAAATTTTCAGAATTTGCTACTAAACCAGTAGTATTTCTTACTAATTATGTAAAATTGGAAAAGACTGGCCTACTAACTTTAGCCTAATTTTTTATGTTTAGTATCGTTGTTTACTTTGTAATATAACAATATTTAAAAAATTATAAAATGTTACGTAGTACTACTAAACTCTCATCAGTTCTGGTGAGATCTGTTTCTTCATCATGCCAGAAGAAAAAACAATTTGAAATAAATAACAATAGTGAATTTGTTAGTAAGGTAATGAACAGTTCAGTACCAGTTATTGTGAATTTTCATGCTGAATGGTGTGATCCTTGTAAAATATTAACGCCTAAATTAATTGAACTCATAGGCCCAATGGATAAACTTGATCTTGCTATTGTAAATTTAGAATCAAATCCGGAATTAGTACATATTTTTGAAGTAAAAGCCGTACCAGCTATCATAGCAATTTCAAGCGGATTAGTAGTTGATAAATTTGTAGGTTTAACTGATTTAGATATCATAGAAAATTTAATACAAAAGCTTACTAATGCACCTGTAGATTCTGAAAATGATAAAGAAAAAATTTAACATGCATCTTATCATATGTATAAAATTATTAAAATAAATAATCAAATATATTTTTATAGTTTGGATTCTATTGTAATATTTTTAGTTGTTATTATATATCATAAATGTAAATTATAAAATTAATTGAAAATATATATGATAAATTACATTAAACTGTATTGAATAATGTAATCGTCTTTAAATCCAATTTAGAAAAAGTTCTGTTCGGAATTGGTTTTATAACACTATAAATAATAAATACCAGGATAAAAATATGAAATTGTAATTTCAAAAAAGATAACATTTTTATTTGTTATTTATAATTTTTATAATATCTTGTTAATTATTTTACAAACTCTTAGTAATTTATTATATATATATATATATATATATATAATATTATAACATGATTATAAAATGATTTTTTAATCGATTGCGTATTACATATAATATGTTAATATTAACGGCCTTTTTTAATCTACAATTTCGTGACATTGTACTTATTAAATTAAATCTATTTTTAAACTAAAGTATATTTCGAGGAACTTACTTTCTTTGCATAATTGCTACCATTATCTAAATATCTCTTATTGGAATACAGTTAAGGAGATTAACTTGATTCGACTTTGATCTCAATAAAATTCTTTTAAAGTATATTATGCAATAAAGTTGATAATGATTTATTATTACGTAATGAATGCAAATCTAAGGTGAAAAAGCATAACTAACTAATATAAGGATTGTAAACAAACTGTTACTTAATTTGAATTCTAGATTCACGTTTATTCTTGATTTTGAAGCAAATCTGTACAATCTATGTATGAAATTACTATAATAAATTATAATTATAGATAGTAGGCCAAAGATTTAATAAAAAACGTTTAATCCATGTATTCCCTGGTAAAAGAGATTTTTTTTTGTCCCTTGGCAGCAAGCGATACATAAAAGTGTACCAACAATTAAAAGACTAGCTAAAATTTATCAGTCAGGTGCTTCCAAGAAACACCATGATAAGGCAATGCTGTGATTTCTTAGTTGCTTGCAAAACTTTTTATTTTTTGTGTTAAATATATTTTAATTCTTTTTCTATTTTATTTTACGAGTATTTTATATTTTTGCAAGCAACCCTATCTTTCTTATTAGTTTAATAACCAGTATATATATTTTAATATGTACAAAATTAGGTGAAAACTTTCAATGAATCTCTTTCTTAAAAGAAGAAATGATAATAGATTTATTTTTCTTCTCTGGATAAATATTGTGGTGGATTTGTTCGTAATAGCATTTATTACGTTTTGGTTTCGTTTTGTTTTGTTATTATTAATTATTATTCCTAATGAAAATTATAATGAATCATGTACTAAACGTAAATACACCACTATAATTATCCGGATTTTTATACAATAAAGATATACAAATAAAAGATTGTGGAATTACATTTGACACTGCTATTAATGCACCGATATGTTCTGTAGAGGCGATTTCTCATGGCCCCACAAAATTACACATTCAGTAAATACATTTGGACGCTTTAATCTTGCAGAAATATTACGCATATTTACAACTTATATATATCAAATAGTTTAAAAAAAATGTAACAAAATGTAGAAAAACACGAATGATATATACAATTTCTTTCGATGTTACTTGTTATTAAACATATTCAATAGTAACAATACAAAAGAATTTTTTTCATTTTTAAATAAATAATATAACTTACAGTTATTCTCACATCTGCTTCTAGAATTCATTTTATTCATCATAAATTATACTATTATAATTTGAAAATAAAAATATATAATAACATTGTTAAGTTCTAGTAATACTAATTATCGTTTTTATTTTTTTAACTTCACATTAAATTATGGTAAATTAGAAAATTTTTGCAAATTGAATTTTTCTGACTTTATTTTCTAAAATTATTTACCATGATATGCAAATGATTAATGAAATTTGAACATATGCTAACAAGAATAATAGGTTTCGTTAACAACAAGTAACATCTAATTTTCATCGCTAGTAAATCATCTAATCATTATATGATACATAGTATAATACAACATGATACAATTTATTTTGCATTGAATAACTTGGTGATTGACGTTAGTCTTCTCAGTAAATGTAGTAATAATTCTTTAATTATTATGGTAAATATTAACTATCTTTTGTATAAATTTTTAAAATTCATTTTCTCCGAAAATATTTTGAAAAAACTATATCTATTGGGATGTCATTATTATGAAAATAACACAAAAATAAGTAGTTAAAAAAAGATCGAGAGAATGAAAATTTAAAAAAAATCACGTAATGAAGAGTATTCTGTAGCTATATGTATATGTATATATTTATATATACATATACGTGCAGGCGTACAAACGCATTCTCTCTTTTATATATTAGAATTAAGAAACTAGTGTTAAAATTCGTCGCTTTTCAGTATGTACAATTTCAAGAATAATCTTCCATCAAAAACCTTTGTATTTATTATTTTATAACTGGAATGAATTCTTCATTTTTAATGTATTTTTATAATTAGTACTTGCGATGCATGATTCAAAAAGTGACTGTACGAAAATTGTTTTAATATATATTACTACAGGAAATTCAAAAATACTTCATCATACTTCTGCTCCCAAATCTCTTACTCCTTGTTCCGCTATTGGAACATATTTATCATCAATTTTGACAAGTAAGATAACTTTATCTACGTGAGATCGCCGATTAGGATCACGATGATTTGGAGACCAACAATGAACAACGCATCCTTCCATACCTCTTTCAGGTACCCAATGTTGCCATCCAGATCTACCACCCTGTTGTCTCATTCTCTCATCAGGCCAAATTACGTCTATACGACGGCCCAAATTAATAGCATCATATACTTGATTAGGATCTATGATCTAATAATAAATAAAAATACATCACTTTTGATAAGCTAAAAAAAAAATCACAAAAATTTCTATATATATCAAGATAAATTTTATTTTCTACTACTTACGCGTACTCGTTGTAAGACTTCATCTTTTTCGAGTTTATTCGTAAAACTCGTTTCACTCTTTGTTTCTGTTTTAATATCACTATTACTAAGAAGACCAGCTAAACTAGCAAGCGTCGAACTTGTAGGTTTTCCAACTGATGCTAAAGACCCTCTATTTCCACCTAAAGATCCAGTATTTGCTCTTCCTAAAGAACCACGTCCAGTTGATCCACCAATTTGACATCCCGATTCTATGGATTGTGAACCAGATGTGTTATGACCTGTTGATTGTCCATAACCTACATTAAAAATTTTATTTTTATAAAATAATCATAATCAACGTAGATAACATTTTATGACTGAAAATACCTAAATGGATATTGTATGTAGTCATTGCATACACTCCATCATTTCCAAAACCTCCATCATCTTGAGATCCTGTTCCTCCTGATGAACAACCCTGACCACATCTTCTTCTGATTCTATAAATAATACTTACAATAATAATAAACTTTATGAGATATACTTTCATTAATAAGTTATATCTTTTTATAATTATATAACATAATAATAAGTACCTTTGCCATAGTTTTAAAACGTTGCTTTTAATTACTCCGAGACTTAAAGGTCCACCGATTATGGAACACAATTGTTCATTAGTTTCTGCATAACTAGTTGTTAATGGTGAAACATAAATCGGGTACCCAATCGGTTGATCACAAGAACTATTTATAATATTTCTAAGAGCCTGTTTGGCATTTTGTATAGAACCTCGTTCAGGATTTCTATTTCTTAAGTAAACTAACTCTTGTTGTTGTCCAGCCCACAAACCACGAACACATTCACGATTCATTTTAATCACTCGAAAACTTAAGAAGCGTTTGTTAAGCATTATCACTTTATATTCATCAATGCCATCATCAAGTACATGCCTACAAATGAAAATAATAAATACTAATGACGTAGTAATTTAACGTTTTGCACTAACGTTTAATATTGCACTATTAAAATACCTGAGTGCTAAAAGACTAGGTGCACCATTTAAAACAGCATTTCTCCAAAGTGGATCTGCCTCATGACTAATCACGAGATTTTTATCGTGACTATCTATAGCTTCATAAAGAGCAGGTGGTTCACCATATTGCTCTGGACTCATAAAATGATCCTGATGTAGTTTTAATGCCATTCTTACGCCTTTGGCTACGACACTTCGTAATAAATCAACATCGTGTAAAACCCATTCATCTCGAGTTGATGTTATGCGAAAATCTCCTAAACATATATAAGTACTTCTTAAAAATTATTTTTTAATCAATTTTTTCATTATTTATTATAAAATACTGTACCTTTAAAAAGAGCATGTAAACCGTATAAAAAAAATTCAACACTGGAAACCGTGTTATGAGATAGTGCTCCTAAGACACGTCTTCCCAAGAGACTTAAAGCAAGACATAGAGATACCAGTGGCGAATTTCTTGATTTGTCTAATGTCTAAAATAATTATAGGTAAATAATGCTATATAAATATTAACATAATTTATGTATGCTTGAAAAACTACCTTATCTTGTTTGGTAACACAATACTGTATCCAATCCAAATAAACATTACAAAAACTGCTTCTTGTAATACCGCAAGTTCGAATATCGTAATCTTCATGAATACTCAAGTTAAAAACTGGATCAAGATCAACGAAGTTTTTGTCAAGTGTTATTTTCAAAGCATCCGAAATATCGGAGTTTTCCAACCAATATTTCAATTTTGGCGATTTAACGGCGTAAAATACAATGCTTTTGACATAATAGGTAACTAGTACTTTACGAAATTCAAACACTTGAAGCATTGAAACTGCTGAATTATCCGAGATCGAGTATCCTTCTAAAACGTATTTAGCACTTGCAACTTCCCACGCTAACCAACGTTGGCTAAAAGCTGCGTTTACACTTAATACGTTTGAAAAATGTCCCATTTCACAACAACAACAATTGTCATTGTCCTCAATTCCTTCAGAGATTGCTTCTACCTAAAAATCAAAGTATTTTTAAATTTGATTGTGTTAATTAGAATTTTACTTAGAATTTTCAACGTTTAAAATA